TATAGAGATGTTCTATAGAGTCACTGTAGAAGTGCCCAAAATAATCTTATTAGGAGTGTAAGAAAAAACTTGATTCTGTCAAATATCACAATATTTATCAGGTGATAGTAGTCTTTGTTTTAATTTCGCTGAATGGAAAAAAATATTTATACGGGAAACATCTATTTATTGTCTTACTTTAATATAACTCTTAAACGTCCAGCCAGTAGTTGGCAGCCCAAGACCCTATTGTTCGGCTGCTCTGCACCAGCAGTAGCGGAGGAACTAACTCTAGTAAAGAGCTATAGTGTTATAAAAGACAAAATAGTCTTTGTTAATGTATCAGAATAAACTGTTTGCTGCTGCCATCAACACCTTTGTTTATAGATGTTGGAGATCGGCCTGTTTTTCCAGTGTAGTCCTGTTTGTCTGTCTGCTTCTCTCTCCTTGAATCTCAGTCGGCCTCAGCAGATGGGCGCTCACACTGAGCCTGTTTCTGCTGGAGGTTTCTTCGTGTTAAAAGGTAGTTTTTCCTCTCCACTGTCGCCAAAAGCATGCTCAGTGTGAGGGATTGCCTTCGAGTCAATGCAATCAACTGGTTTTCCTTAGATAGAAAACTTTGAATCAATTTGAATGTATGATCTGGTTGCATTGTAAAGTGTCTTGAGATGACGTGTTGTGAATTGTCGCTATATAAATAAATCCGAATGGAATTAATAGTGATGTTTAAATGTTCTCATCTAAATGTAGATCTGAAAAAACTTGCATGTTTGTATATGAAGCCCCTTTAGGCTAATACCTATAAAAAGAACCTGGAGGGACTTTAGACATGGCTAAATATTTGGGAACAACTGCAATGGTGTTTTCCCCATTTGAAAAGTGTCCTTTGGAAATAATCATAAAAAAAAAAATTGTATACTGCAAATGTCTTGATAAAAGAAAGTATGCAATAATGTATGCTTCAACTACCTTCATTTGAGTCCCAGTGCTTTAATCCAATAATTTTGTTTCTACAATTTTCAGTGTGCAGTTTCACTGCTGCAAAAACAACTGATTGAGTTAGGTAGATACCACTATTATTCACCACAGTGTTTTTCTAGTTTCACCAGCAGTGACAATTATTAATAAATTATTTCATTTTACAGCATGTCAGTTTAACAATCCATATTCTACATAAGTTTATTTTCAATAAGTAATTCCTGTTATTTGTGTTGTGGTGCACTAATTTTCTAATTAAAATTGCATCATGCTTGCCTGAGGTACTTTAACACCATCACAGAGTTAGGACTTGTTGCTGCAAAGGTGTGCACCTCTTGATGTAAAAGAAAAGTGTGCTGAACAACTTTTCCAAACTTTAGTTTTTTATGTTCATTTGACTTAGAAAAATAACTTGTTTTGTTTTTTCCCATTTTTTTTTTAACATTGTGTTATAGTTGGTTGCATTTTATTTTTGCATCTTCATGCATTGTTATGTTCCCACGCTTTTCTCCCCTTTACTTTCCGAAGTCAGCTGCTGGTTTCCCAAGCTGCAGTCAATTTGGCCTTGAGCTGCCAAAGTCAGCCAATCAGAAACGTTAGTAGGTTGGCCAGAAACTTATGGGAATTTTTCAAAACAGTTATATTCTGCTGCACCTTAACAGCTTAGATATGTTCAAATAACTGACTGAAGTAATGTTGATCAGGATGGCTGTAAGGCAGAGCAGCTAAAAGAACATGAACATAGTGAGAGATTGAGGTTTGCAGGAGGATCTCTAAGCAGCAACAGCTTGTTAGTCAAACAAACACAGAAACATTGGTCACCTTCCAATTAAAGTTAGAAATAAAAAAAAATCTAAATGATTTGTGTGCAGATTATGCTATTCATAACACAATAATACACTTAACTATTGAGGAACACACAGTTTCGAGTTCATTAAAATGCCTTGGCAATGACCATGCATGTCCTGTATCTTCACAGTGGTCAAACGTCACATCCCCTGTTGAATTTGGGGCAAATATTTACATAACCCTTGAACATTTTCCTGTTTATTTTATTACGATTTTACATGATGGAAAAAAATTTAAAAAGGCTTTTCTTTCTTAAGGAGGTTCAGAAGATTGGTGGAAAAACAGCGTAATGAGGACCATGGAGCACAAAAGACAGGTCAGTAGTGATGTGCGGATCAATACAGAAACATCCATACCTCTGATACTAGAACTTTAGGCTTTAAAATAAATTCTAAAATCTAAATATCGATACTTAGGATACCAGAGTTATTTGAGGTTGTGTATCTTAACAATAAAATTGACTAAAAGGAACTGTTAGAGACTAATTTTTCTTCAGGCTGGTAAGTTTGAAATGTGTTAGTATATATTTCCAAGTCCAGCTTCCTGCTGCTGCTAAGTTGGTCAGGTTAACAAAGAAAATATGATATTTAATAACATATTTAATATCAATTATGCTTTAACTTTTCATTTCAAATTTTAAATTATCGGTATTGATTAATTTGGCCAATATTTGTGACATTAATTAATTTTTATTTGCAATCTCAACACAATCTGGCCCTAAGTAGGATAATAGAACATTGTATTATGAATTTACCAGAAACAAAAGGTGTATTTGCACAGCATATCAGTATTGGATTTATACAGGTACTAGCCTATATTTTACTAGGCATTGGATCGGAAAGAAAATTGGTATCAGACTTCACTACAGATCAGAGAAAAAGAGGCATGAAAAGATTTAAAGGAGCCATAACCTGTTAATTATATATACAATACTTCCAATAAGACATTTAAATTCACTTTTAGTTGTTTTTAGGAAAATAATACATAAATAAAGCTAATTCGGACCTCTTTACATAAAACTTTTTGACTTGTGTGAATCAGTGTTCATGTGGACGAAGCATCCAAAGTGAGTCCCTGAGAGCATGAGTCGCCCCTTTTGGTGGAAAATAGAATGCATGGTGATAGCAGGGCGGGCTGATGTTAGCAGAATGATGAAACTCAAGGAAGAGAACCAAAAAGTGCTTTGTGGAGAACGCGTCCTTGTGTGCGTCTCTGGTTTGAACAGCAAGCCCACAAAACTGGGGCTACGTTCACACAGCAGCCTGAAGTCGCCCAAATCCAATTTTTTTGCCCATATGCGACCTGTATGTGATCTGGTAGTGCTGAGCACCAGCACTACCATCCAAGTTAACTTTTAGAAACACAAAGCGTGCTTGCATGTGACATCATTGCGTCCTCTACTACGCATGCGGGACGCTTAAGTTGTATGAATGCAGCTCACATAAAAGATCAAATACAAGTCGCATATATCTGGAAACGTGAACGGCAACACAAAAGAAAATCAGATTTCACATAAAAATCTGAATTGAGAATCAAGGCCTGCAGTGTGAATGTAGCCTAAAAAACACAGCTACTTTCACGCTTCAGAATTTCTGGCAGGTTTTACCAGAAGCCCAACACATATATTTACCATAATAAAAAAAAATCTAATTCCTGGGTATGACTCCTTTAAATTTTAAAACTAAAATCTAAAGTTTAAAACTTCTCTGCGCTTTCTCTGGAATCTTGGATTAAAAAAATGTCAGAGGGGCAAAAGAACATGAATATTTATGACAGCAAACCTGAATGGTTACAGATACTTTCTACACAACCTAAATAACTTTGTTTAATTTTAGAGAAGAATGTGAAGGAAATTCCAGCTCCTGCAATTGTAATTAAATAAAAAAATGGCTCTGCAAAGCGTTAAATCATTGGGACTCAAAATAAATTCACACTATTTTTTTTCTTTTTTGTAAAATACACTATATTGCCAAAAGTATTTGCTCACCTGCCTTGACTCACATATGAGCTTAAGTGACATCCCGTTCCTAATCCATAGGGTTCAATATGACGTCGGTCCACCCTTTGCAGCTAGAACACCTTCAACTCTTCTGGGAAGGCTGTCCACAAGGTTTAGGAGTGTGTTTATGGGAATTTTTGACCACCAGAAGCGCATTTGTGAGGTCGCACACTGATGTTGGACGAGAAGGCCTGGCTCTCAGTCTCCGCTCTAATTCATCCCAAAGGTGTTCTATCGGGTTGAGGTCAGGACTCTGTGCAGGCCAGTCAAGTTCATCCACACCAGACTCTGTCATCCATGTCTTTATGGACCTTGCTTTGTGCACAGTCATGTTGGAAGAGGAAGGGGCCAGCTCCAAACTGTTCCCACAAAGTTGGGAGCATGGAATTGTCCAAAATGTCTTGGTATGCTGAAGCATTCAGAGTTCCTTTCACTGGAACTAAGGGGCCAAGCCCAGCTCCTGAAAAACAACCCCACACCATAATCCCCCCTCCACCAAACTTTACACTTGGCACAATGCAGTCAGACAAGTACCGTTCTCCTGGCAACCGCCAAACCCAGACCCGTCCATCAGATTGCCAGATGGAGAAGCGCGATTCGTCACTCCAGAGAACGCGTCTCCACTGCTCTAGAGTCCAGTGGCGGCGTGCTTTACACCACCGCATCCGACGCTTTGCATTGCACTTGGTGATGTATGGCTTGGATGCAGCTGCTCGACCATGGAAACCCATTCCATGAAGCTCTCTGCGCACTGTTCTTGAGCTAATCTGAAGGCCACATGAAGTTTGGAGGTCTGTAGTGATTGACTCTGCAGAAAGTTGGCGACCTCTTCGCACTATGCGCGTCAGCATCCGCTGACCCCGCTCCGTCAGTTTACGTGGCCTACCACTTCGTGGCTGAGTTGCTGTCGTTCCCAAACACTTCCATTTTCTTATAATACAGCTGACAGTTGACTGTGGAATATTTAGGAGCGAGGAAATTTCACGACTGGATTTGTTGCACAGGTGGCATCCTATCACAGTTCCACGCTGGAATTCACTGAGCTCCTGAGAGCGACCCATTCTTTCACAAATGTTTGTAAAAACAGTCTGCATGCCTAGGTGCTTGAATTTATACACCTGTGGCCATGGAAGTGATTGGAACACCTGATTCCAATAATTTGGATGGGTGAGCAAATACTTTTGGCAATATAGTGTATGTGAAAAACTATTATTTTCTCTCCAATTTAGAATAATTTGGTTCTAGCTTTGATCCATCACATAAAAACCCAATAAAATACAAGGAAGATAATAGAGAACAAACTGGAAAAACAAATCAAAGGTATATGAATATTACAGTCTTGTACAGTAAATACTGTAACTTCAGTACAAAGAATTGTGTGACTTTTGCAATCATTTACAGATGCTAAAAAACGAAACGGAATTCCAGCAGTTATGCTCAGTAGTCTTCAGAAGAGCACCAAATTATAAAGTAGCTTATGCTTGAGCTCATTAAGAAAAAATAGGACTTTAAATGAAGTTCATGATATATATTTATGACTCCAGGTTGGAGTGGAATAAAAAAAAAAAAAAAAAAAACAATAAAAAAAGAATAAATTAAAAAATCCAAACTCCGTAAGTGAAAAAGAGAATTATGCCTGTTATTTCTTTGGCACATTGAAATAACAGCATGGATGTCCAATCTGTACTGGCACTTGCAGATTCCGTGATTCCAGCAGACAGACTTAGATGTGGTCTCATAAACCCAACTGTCACATCCGTCTTTTCACCAAGGTTAACAGTGAAGCCAGTGGAATGCGCTGCCCAGGATCAAGCAACAATATGCATAATGTGATGGGTAGGAACTGGTTGCTGACTGACATCATTTAAAGAGAAGTTTCATATTTTTTTCTCCTGTTTCAGTCAGTCGGAAGCAAACGGTCATAAAGCCACAAGTTACAGAATCCTCGCCCCCGAAAAGAGGGGTCCTCAGTCTCCTTGGCAGTGTGGGTCTAAATATGCCCTTGGAAAGAGACTGCAAGAAGTAGGCATAGTTTACTCCCTGTATCAAATAGATGAAAGGTGTGTGGACTTTGATGCAGGCAGGTCCAGCAGAGCCTGGACGGTCAATCCCACCCTTACCAGACCTCGCTCCTCCAAGATGTGATGTGGCAGACACAACTTGTCCTGAATTAACAAAGATATCAATCATCATGTCAATGAGGTAAAGATTAAGGTTGGTGTTGGTCTACAGCAGCTTTAATTTGGTGAATGCATCTATGTCAGGCAGACTGCTTTAACTAATAAAATGTACTTTGGAGGGAAACAACATCAAGCTAGACACCCAGCTGCATATATATATATATATATATATATAAAAACAAAAACAAAAAAACCCACGCATAAATATGTTAGAGCACTCTGATTGACAGTTAGCATAAGTATTATTTTGTATTTTATAATTTATGGTAAATGACTTATATCACAGGACAATAATATATTATAAAAAAATACTTGGAGATAAACATTGAAATTGAAATAGCAAACATGTTTTACCTGCGGCACTCCAAGCTTCTTGCAGGCCTCTAGGAAGTTTTCAACATTTCTGCGGCATTTTGCCATGCTTAGCTTTGGCTGGAGGTATCAACATTAATCATATTAGTTTCCTCATCTAAGCACATGAGCCAGTCACAAGGCAAAACTAAGAATACCATTCAAACTTATTGGACAGTGGATACACTTACTACTGCAGGTGACGGCACGTGAATGCTGGGGACAGAGCGGGGACATATGTGATTGGCCAAATGGCAGAGGACCACTCCATCCATCAAAGCTGCACCAACATCCTCTGGGAGCAGGACTTTTAGTCGAGACTCAATGTTCTGCACACACATAAAAGCAACTTAATTTGATCAAACCATGAAATAAAAAGTTTACACCCCAATACCACCCTTATTTACATTATCATCTACGCGATGTACATACAACTGAAAATAACAGTAAGATTAAATAGCTAAGATAGAAAAAATAAAGTGAAGACTTTTAAAATAGTATGAAAACAGTATGAAAAAAATTCAAAATAGAGCCAAAGTGACAGTATGTGCAAAATGCCTCTGCAAACAGGTGTGTTTTAAGCAGTCTTGAAGTCTGAAAGAGAGGAAGAATGCCCGACAACCAAGGGCAGATTATTCTACAACTGTGGAGCCAAAGGTACAATCTCCTCTTAATTTCAGTTTGCATTTAGGGATAATAACGAGCTGCTGATTAGCAGAACCTGAGGGAGCAGGCAGGTGTATGGGAGAGTAGCAGCTCAGAAAAATAACAGAATCTTAAAACTTAAATTAAAAAGTAAAGGCTGTCACTACCTAATAATTACATCAGCTCATTTGTGCATGTGCAACAGGATATTAATCAAGACGCCATAAATAATATGATAACAGTACTGAAATGTACATATTTCTATCCGTATTCATCAGAGAGAATGGTAAACTATATTTTATTTTAAAAAAAGTGTCTAATGACTTTTCAGAAAGAACTGGATGTGTTTTAGATTTTGTCTAAAATCATGATGGATATGCTCAGAGCAGTAAATGTAAATACATTTCCACTGTGTTTATCTTTACCTTAGTTCTGTATACTATATGTAATTCTATCCAAAGTTTGAAAGCATCCAGGCCTTTATAACATCAACATATTTGAACAATAAATTTACTGAAATGCCCTTGGCTTTTATGAGAAGAGATAGGCCTGGGAGTAATGTGCATAATAGTAGAAGGAAAACCTTTCTATTCTAAAATTAGAACCGTGTTGGACCCCACAGTAAAGAAGAGCAGCAGTCACACAGTTTAACTAGCAAAGTTTGCTCTGCCAAATAAGATCTGAACCACTGTTATGCAGTAGACCTGTCAGCCACACTCTGCTCCAAAATTAATGAAATTTATGGTCAACCATGTCAAAGGCAGCAGTTAAATCAAGAGGCATAATATTTACAGTCATTTGCTAAGAACACACTGTTAGCAGCTCTTAAAAAGGGACGTTTTTTTGTTTTGTTTTTTTTACATAAAAGGCAGTTTGGATAGAGGCCTGTAATTTTAAAAGTTTCTGGTTTAAGAGCAGTTTTCTTCAATGGAATGAATTACTACCTGTTGATAACTAAAGAAAGACTAGCAGAGGACAGGCTACCATTTATAATTGAATGCAGAACTGGTGCAATAGTGAGGAAAACCTATTCAAAAAAATCTAGGGGGGAATCATTATATGGAGAACCATATGAACAACTATCTCCTTTAAGTAAAGCAGAGAAACTGGCTCAAATCTGTCAAAGACAGCAGAGCAATCTGAGGAACATGACGAAGCAGCTCAACAGTTAAAAAAAAAATTAGCTTGAGACAATTTTCTTGAATGATAGCAGAAACATGATTTCTTCTAGCATCTCTAACACTTTTCTGCTAAGAAATTCTCTTGTAAAATAATATTTCATTTGAGACCTAATTTTTATCCTTCGTACACTTTTGTTCAGCTCACCTACACCCTTGTTTGACGGCATTTTCATTCAGGGTTTAGATTTGGCTTTATGTAAATCCCGTTATTGTCCCACAATGGGGAAATTGGTTCTCTGTGACCCATTCTGGGTCCAAATGCATAACCTTTTTGACCCATTCCCCTGGGGAGCAGTGGGCTGCCATTGTGTGGCACCCGAGAGCAGTGTGGGGTTAAGGGTCTGGTTCAGGAACCCAGAGAGCAGCATGTGGGGATTGAACCGGGTACTTGGAACCTTCTCAGAGCACAAGCGCACTGCTCTCACCACCAGGCCAACACTCCTCTCCTATTAGGCAAATTTTAAAAGGGGCTACAGGATCAAGACGTTTTGACAGAGAGAAAAACCATGAATCGAGCTCATCTGTCTGGCTGTGTGTTTTCTGGATGGGGCCGCATGTTGAACTGGTTGATAGCTTCCTTTTGTATCTCTGCTTCTTCCAGAATATCTGCTTCTGTCTCCTTGAAGCCCAGTCGGCCTCGGCAGATGGCAGCTCAGACTAAGCTGGTTCTGCTGCAGGTTTCTTCCTGTAAGGGAGTTTTCCTTTTCTAATGTTGCTACATGCATGCTCAATGTGAGGGGTTCCTGAAGAGTCAATAACAAAATGCCAGCGAAAATCACTGTTGCAAGCGAAGCAAAGCGATTACTTTATCCTCGATGGCTTTGCTTGATTGAATTTTTTAACCAATCTGAGTGTATCGTCTCTTTAAATTTCCATGAGATGACACATGTTTTGAATTGGTGCTTTATAAATAAAGTGAATTTAAAGAGGCATTATGGAGTTTTCAAATGATACTGCCACCAGTGGCCAAAACATAGAACTGCACCACTTGATCATAGGACAGACAACCGGTGTCTGTTGATCTGGATGCCATTTGCGTTTGAATCTCAACAAGATATCAGAGAAAACCAACAAAATTTCTCTTTAAATGAACTGAATTTAAAGTTTGGCTGTGGAGGCTGAGGTTGGAGGTCCTTGATAACCTGGCTGGGAAACATTATCAGATTTGTGTCTTATTTGCCTGCAGTGTGATTGTGTCCTTAGTAATATGAGTCAATTTTTTTTATTCTTTTATTGAACAGTTATGTAAAAAAGAGAAAACCTAAAATATAAATTACAAAAAGCAAAGACAACCATGCAAAGAAAAACTACTATTACTTTTTGTTCTCAGAGTAGGTTGGACAGGCCATTTAGATACTTTAAAGCTAGTGCTGGATTTAGAGATCCAGGAAGGCTGGTATCAGGAAGGATGCCAAATAAACCTGATTTGTTTGGTCATATGCTTGACTAAGTGTTTTAAAAACATTTCTTTTCCCTCAAACATCTTCGTATGAAGTTACTCATCCCATGCTGTTCTAACAGGAGTTTAAGATTTGATGTTCTTATCCAGTGTATTGTAGAGTAATGATATGCACTTCTTCTGGTGTAGGTCCATTTTCAGGAGCGGATCCAAATGAGTTTTGGTGGGTGGATGAGAAAGAGTGGAAAAGGCTTTTTTTATCCTTCTCTGACAGAAATAAAAATATTTGAGCTGTAAAGTTGAAATTTGGATAAATATATATTGTGACTATAAACTGTCTTGTTCCTTTCATGTGTCATGCGTAGAATAGAATGAGTGACCAAAGGCATAAATTTGTTCCTTTTGGATAAAAAAAAAAAAAATCAGAGCAGCCATATAGGACAGAATGTTTCCTGAATTCATTTAGATGAACAATCACCAGGGAAGGGAAGCTTGGCTGGTTTTATTTTTTCAGTTTTACTGGTAGCATGTGAGTCCAAGTAGTTTTCTTCAAACAGCTTGTCTTAGACGACAATAGCATTAGACACTCATAACAAATAGCAGCCAGTACTATGTATATTCTCAAACAAGAACCTGTTAATGTAGCCAAAAATTAGGTTTCCATGACTGACAATGTAACACTCTATAGTTCTGTCAGACAGGATTAAATAATCTTAAAAGGTTAAAAAAATGTATTTTCTTTAATAACTTCCCTTTGTTAAATTCTTTTCCAAACAACCCGGTCACCAAACTGTGACCGGATCGTTTGGATAAGATGTTCCCAGATCATGTTGTGAATCTGGGGATGTTCCTCCTCATTTTTCTAAACTGTTTCTGGTGGTACTGACTGTAGGTTGAACTTGTGTTTCACTGCTAGTCTAGTCTTGTAAGATTTAATCTCTTCTTGAACCCCCAGTAGGGTTCATCAAAAGCCCATCAAGAGGAACAAATTAGATGCAATCTGCTTGGTGTCTCTAGAAAAGGTTTAACCAGTCAGGTTGATTGAATTGTTTGTGAAGTGCCTGAAATGACATTTTTTGTAAACTGGCGCTATATAAATAAACTGAATTAAAGTCTTTTGCTCCACGCTTACTTGTGTTTCTGTAAGTAGTTTAACTATTCTTGGATATCAAGACTCCATGACAGGCAAGCCTCAAGGATCCTCTTCCCTACGCTCTCTCTAGTGCTTGTCAACACTCTGACATCATCTGGCCACAGTGCGCCAATGCCTACTCCCCCTCTGGACCACTGTAATGGGCTTCACCTTGGAGTCAGTCAGTTATTACTGATACATCTCTAGTTGGTGCAGAATCATTTTAGAATCCATTTCAAGATTTATCTTTTTCTTTTCTTAAGTTTGCATGGTCTTCCCTCAACTAATCTCTCTGGTCTGCTTGATTCTTACTCTCCTGCTCGATGCCTCAGGTCAGCTGATCAGCTACTCTAGGAGGCACAGAGGTCTAAACTCAGCTCAGAGGCCTGTGTTCAAATCCAGCGGTTCCGTCCTCCAAAGTCTAGATTTGTTGTTCAGCCAATTACATCACAGCGAGGCGCCATGACCGGTTCGAATTCAAAGACTCCTAGGTATGCGGCTGACAAATGCAGCCTTCTTTTAGGCTGTCTGGGAAGACAGGACCAGTGTCTCCTCCATAACCTTGGGTATCCCACGATACATTGCGAGTCCAAGCAATCTCCGTACTCCGAGGAAAAAGGGAAATGCTGACGAACAGTGTTGAATATTGTAAGTGCAGTTATGAATTATATAAATCATTTAATCTCTAATTAAGGAAAATAGGTATTGAGTCAGATATGTGGAAGGCAATGTTTGGTTTATTGAAAGGTTTTATCTGTCTCTGTGCAAATGGACTTAGCTAACATTTAAGCACATAATCCAATATTTCTTCAGTGTGGGGACTATAAATCTGATTTCTGTGACAACAGTACTTCTGCTGAACCTGCTCACACCTTGACGATTTAGAACAGCGTATGCCAGAGGTATGAAAAGGCATAAGTTATGGGTACGTCTTGTATAAGTTATGAGCACGCTGAAGCACACTGGCACATGTCGACATATGGCTAGTACGTCAGCATATGCTATACGTTGGGCATAAGTTACAGGTTAGGTATCTGATCGTTGACATACGCATCGTTGACATCAAGTGCAAGATACTCATAAATATCGTAAACCTCAGCATAACTTATGCGTAATCAACAACTTATCTCAAACAAATATCCAAATATTTTGCATGTTCCAGATGACCGCTGAGCATGTTTCTAACTTACAGCTACCGTATAATTGAGTATTGGCAGGATTTTGGTATAAATGGGGGGTTCACAGGAGGAAACTGTCAGTTCTCCTCCAGACTTCATCCCCATCATAGGGTGAGCGGGAAGGTGTGTGTGATGGATCCTCCCTGCGTTCACGCCCAAGTCCACGACCAACAAATTTGTTAGCCGACATGACGCTGAATTTGCTGCGACTGCAAACCCTTTATTTCTTTTTATTTATTCGTTTTTCTGGGGGCGGCTGTAAACAGCAGCTTGGTTAATACTACTGTACGATCAAAGACATCTTTTTATGCAGACCAGGCGCCTCCCTGCACATCGCCGCTCCTGAGGGGAGCAGCTTTTACTGATGCTTCGTAGTGCCCATAAAATGATCCTTGTGCATCAAGCATCAAGAAATGATGCTTGTGCTTCATTTCATGGGCATTAAGCTACTGTGCCTTATGCATAAGTTAGGCTGTCGTTGAACATAAGGCCTGGACTCAAAATTGAAAAAATATAGAAAGTTTAGAGTATGCCAGCTTTTTAGAAGAGTCTGGGACATCGGGGCATACGCTGGCTAAATCGGCAAAGTGTGACAGGGCCCTTAGTTAAATAAACTAAACTGTTTCCCTGGTCTCCTGAGAATTCACTTGCATGTAGGTTAGAAACCTAAGACCGACTATGACCCCATTAGAGTCTTTGGACATTTATCTTATCTTTAAAGATTAAGAAAAGGGAAGCTTTGTTGCGGATGATTTTTTTTTTTTTAGCAGAAATAAATGGGGGCGTTGCGAATAACATGCGTTGCAAAGACATGCAAACAGATTGGGTTTCCGCACATAAAAATAAGCAGATTGTTTTTTCTCCAGAGAACTTTGAGATCAGATTCAAAGACATGTGACTGGAGGTAATAATGATTACCATTTGAATATACAGTAATGATTATAATAAATAATAGATTGTATAAAACCTCATAAGTGGCTTATCTCAAAGTTTTATGAACAAAAATAAAAAAAGATATGAAAATATCAGTTAAAAATAAAAAAGACAAAATATAAAATGTATATCAATGGATCAGTTGGACTTTAATTTTTTGGACTCTTTTTGACTTTGAATTTTTTTTAGGCTCCTGCACCCCCATGGCGGCTGCTGAAGAGGGAGTGCAATCATCTAACGCAGGTGTGCTGGAGCTGAGACACATTTGAAACATGCAGTATGTTGAGGCCAAATGACCAAGTTTGAACAACACTGCTCTATGGGGTGCAGTAAGTTGAAAAATGTATGTAATTATAGTTACCTTTAAGCTAAAAATGTATCCAATTGTATTTATCTATAATCAAAAACTCCAGTTTTTAAGAGGATTTGGTGTAAACAGCCTTGATCTGGAGTTATGTCCTTTAAGTGGTCTGTATAATGGGTGCTGCACTATAAATAAAGTCCAGGAAAAAGGTTTGCATGACATGTCATGGCTACTAGAGTTGTGACATCACTGGATAAAGTAACTTGGAACATTCAGTACTGTGGATGTTTAGATGGAGCTTGTCACCCAAAAGGAGTAAATGTGGGAACACAAACAGGATCTTTATATGACTCATGGACTGGTGAAAACAAGGAAGATGCATGCAGATTACAAAATATCTCACCTGTCGTAAAAGACCAATTTGCTCCATTTCCTCTCTTAAATGCTCCATCTTCCTCCTCATGGTAAAACTGGGATCTGTCGAGCTGAAGTCTTGACGGGTTCCACGTGTGAAGGCTGAAATAAGACATAAAGAGTCTGTGTTAATGATGAAACGCAGCTTCTGGAATGCTCCAGGAACTCAATGTTTTGGAAGATTTCTTAGAAAAACTGCAGGGACTGAGTAATGGAGCAGTTGGAATCTACTTCATCCCAGTGTCGGTAAACACACGTTCTCCACTTTTTACTTTCAAGACTGCTGTAGAATAAATATTTAGATTTTCTCAAGGTTTTGTGCTGAACATTTCCTTTCTGAACGTTTTCATTTTGTTCAAATTGAGAGACAATAAGTATAACCTTAATAGGAGATTTTATCAGATCTAACAAATAAAACCCAAACACTTGGGAGTCAAATATTGTGTTTTTATGGATGTTTAAAAACTATTGGGATCTGCAGTCCATGTTAGGCATTTTTTTTGATTGACATGGAATGATTCATATGAGAGAATCAGATGTTTGTTGAATTTATTAAACATTTCTCTAAAACACACAGGTTTGAAAGTATAGGCATAAATCTAAATAAATAGGCACTCCACCACCAATATCTGGAGAAATTGTCCTGATCGAGTCATAAAGTGATCATTAGGAAAGTTTGGCAAAGTTCTGACTGCATTTGTTCCCCATCCTTTTCAGACAAGGTGCATAAGTCAGCTCATTTATCGCTCTTTTCCCATTCAGGTCGGGTCAATTCAATTCAGATTCACTGATTTTCCATTTCAGTGGAACAGTATTTCAATACAGCTGTGTTCTTTAATAGCAAGTCTAGAGTACTATAATTTGCAGATACACCATAACAGCCTGCTTGGTTTATGGCTGTTGTTAGACTCCGAGTAAATAAGGAAAGCCAAGAAAAGCTGCATACAGCATCATTAAATGAAAGGATACCAGTATAATATGGCACCACCATAGTATAATATTGTTTAACAGTTGGAGATATTAACCAGTGGTGGAAAGTAACAGAGTACTTGATTAATGTATTTAAGTACTTTTTGTGAGTATCTTTACTTTACTTGAGTATTTTGGGGGGGAAGCTGCTAGTTACTTGTTACTTTTCGTTCAGCTTAGCTTTGTAATCAAATGTTGCAGTTTTTCTTCCTTAAAATGTAATTTTAACATGTAAGGTAGCAGCCCTTAGGACTGAGTTTCAACAGTACTGTTTTAGAGATTTAAAGACAATACACAAATGTGAGAAACTTAGAGCAAATATTATTAGTAGTTTATAAGTTTTATTAACGCCTTATTTGTTGCCATGTGGCCAAGTTTTCCAGTAAGATGAGTTCTCAGAACACAGTTCTAGTTTCTTTGTGGTAATATATTAAACCTTATACATCTATTCCATTGTCAAAGTGTGAGGAGAATCAAGACACTCCTGTTCTTTTCGTTTGTTTTTAGATAAGAAATAATTATAACAATAGTGGTAATTTTATGTGGCATTTTTACACTGAAGTCCTTTTCAGGTGGTGTAGTATTTGTAGCTGTTAGGATTCCAGTTTGTGTGGGTTGTTTTTTTGTTTTCCTCTCTCCACCACCAGGCGGTGCCCTGTCTACTTTGGGCCTCCCTGCACACCTGTGTCTCATTGGGTTTTTACCAGAGGAGTACTTGAGCAGCAGGCTGTCACCACCTTGACACCAGAGTGTTTGCCAGTATTGGGAAGACTTTCTGTGTTACTGGATAAGCCTGGACTGAGTGTCCCTTTAGCAAGGGGAAAACCTCCACATGTTCCATTCAAGTCCACTCCTGGAAAACCAAGTGACAGTCCACTTCTTTACTCCTCTGGGTCCAACGTATGTCTACCTGTCCACTCTCCAACCAGTTCCCTCTTCTCTGGATTAAACCCCCACAAACTGGATCAAAGAATAAACCAAGAGCCCCCCAAAGTGAGTGCCTCTCCAGCAATATTCAAGCCTCAGTCTATTTTCCCACTGTCCCTGAACAGATCACTGTGATCTCCCCTTCAGAGTTTCCAGTTACGGTTCACCAGTCCGCTGACTTCCAGTATTGTTTCCCCACAGAGTTTCAATCTCCATCAGTGTTTGCAAACCTACAATAAACCTGTTAAACTTTTACCCTTGGTCTCTGAGAGGTTCTCTGCATGTGGGTCAGATCTTTAAAGCCCATTATGACAGTAGCAGGTGGTTCTATGCTTCAATACATCAGGTGGTTTTGAAAATTACAAGATTCTTTAAAAATTACAGTGAAAATTATTTAGAAGTGTTCTGATATTAGAGAATTCTATTTGTATTTTTTAAATACTTAGGTACTTTTAAATGCATGTACTTCGAATACCTAAGTATTTTCAAAAGTGAGTACTTCAATGCTTTAACTTGAGTAGATGTTTGATCGAGAAGCTTTTACCTGTAGTCGAGTAAGACTTGACCATGAGTATAAATACTTTTACTCAAGTACTACTGTTGAGTAATTTATCCATCACTGCCCCTAACTAATCACTGACCAACAGTTTTCCAATATAGCATTTTTTTGCACTCGGAATGTTTGGAACCACAAGCATAATAATAGTAATGGATCTACGAAATGCTTACAAATGCAAACATTGGAAAGGCAAATCAATCCGCAGGGAGTCACTCTAAGTTAGGGCAAAGGGGGCATTAGTTTGGTTAGTTTCAGGGAAATACGTTTAAACACAGTGAAACCCTTTACTAATCAAGCTGAGTTTAATTCAAAAGCCCAAACTTAGCCTTCTTTACCCTTTCCAAAAGCAGTTTTTGTCGGGTGTTTGCAGTTGTGCAACTGTTGCAAAGTTCAATAGTTGATTAAATTTCAGCAAGTTGGATCCCTCTTTCATCATTTTTTGAATCCAGTCTAACTGTACCACTAACCCACAGCAGGATGCTACCGCCACCATGCTTGACATGCAGCGTTCTTAGTTTGAAAGATATTTCTTGTTGTCTACAAATGTATTTGTTATAGAGACTGAACAGCTCCATCTTTAGATTATCTGACAATAAGAATTTTCTTTTAACAGAAGATGCTGAAATCTGTACAGAAGCTGAGAGGAGCAGGGGCTTTCATCTTCAAAGTCCCAGGCAGTGGATTCAATTTTCTCCTTTTAGACAGTTAAGGTGATAACACAATGGTTACCTTGATGATGTATGAATATTAATGAAATTTTCTTTCATCTAAAAATATCAGTATGGGTCATATGAAACTTGGCACACCATCTGTATTCCTATCTAACACAATGGCTGCCATTTTATTACAGATGTCCCAAAACTGTTGAGATATTCTGCTGCTTTAATTAAACAATTAAAGGCAACCAAACATACATAAAGTTTTTTCATTCAATAAATAAAAAAACATGAATATTATTTTTACCCTGTAGTTACTTCTGGTTGTTTACCAGAGTGATTAAAAAAAGTGCTTCCATTTTGGTTCAGCTGAAAAAACAAACTTTTTATAGTGCAAAAAAAATGTCATCACATTACTATATATCTACATAACAAAACAACATAATTATATGGCAACTTACTTCTACAACCACACACATACCAAAATGGTGCAGATTAATATCCAATGTTTTTAGATATCTAATTCTTTTAATTAATTATTTAATTAAGAATTAATAAAACATTTAATAGTCCATTATTATCCAGTTGTATTTAAACTAATTTCTTTAGCATACTACTGTCTAATGTCATACTAATGTCTAGTTACTCTGATTGTGCAGTTAATGAGTTACAAACTTGTAACTGGTAGCTCTAACTATCTTATTCATTTAAAAAAACGTCCCCAACAGTGCATGTCTCCTCTGCTTGTGGGGAATATCAGGCTTCTTGGTAGGAGGCAGGATAAGCCACAGCTAGCAGCTGGTCACTGATATAAGCAATAAAAGAACATTCTCCGAACACAAGTGCCTTAAAAACAGAAAAATGTTTACAACAAGGCAGAATAACGCCAATAAACAGTGGTTTTAAAAATTTATTTAAACCAGGATAACCCTAGACAAACAGAGAGCTGCGAAACAGAAAACCATATCGTGTGGAGCCATAACATACTGTAACATAGTCTTAGTAATATGGGATGATCAAGAGTGAAATTTGCACACTCTGATAAATTGTTTTTTTGCTATTTTAAAGGTTGTTCTGAAAAAATGCCTCATGCAGCATCTTTCTAAAATCTTCAAGGGGAAAAAAATAATTGATGGAATAACATTGGTTGCCTTTTGGCTCTTGCAGTTATAGATGAATGACAGGTAAAAGCTCTTGCCAGCTGCAAAGAAACCTGACCTGTTAGCTTGTCAGCCATGGTGTGGGTATGGGCGTATTTCACTGTCTAGTGGATGTTAAAATAATACCTGTTACTCAAAACAGCTTTCAGAGCAGGAAGTTAAACTAAATGATGCACTGGATGTTTTTGAATTGCCTGTGGTTGGTTTATGTCTGAGCTGTGGTTTTCTGTCTAGGCTGTCCTTTTTTGGAACATCTTTCCTTGCATATTTAAAAGGAATGAACAAGAAATAATACTAAGTTTTTGTATGACTGATTGAAGTACTTGAGAAAGGAATTATGTGCAATCTGATCATGAAAGCATGACAAAATAGTGTGAACAACATTGATTCCACAGAAAACCTTTCCCTGACTTCCAGAGAAAAGCTTGGTGCTCTCAACCGGAAAAAAATTTGGCTTCAAGTACCAATAAATAACGTTTGCTTAAGCACCTCCACTTTTGTTACTGCCAAGCTGCTGATCTCTGCAGATGATTATGTGTGTTCACTTTTACTTTCCTTGTCAATACTTGCAAGTTATGTATGACAAAATGCCATATTCATATATTATATTTCACATTTTGTAACATTATAGTAATGTATTGTCCTTGGATTTAAGAAGAAATAAAAGAAAACTAAAATTTTTAACATTTTCTACACATAAAACCAAATGTTGCATGGTTTTGTGCTCGGTCCCGTTTATTCTGACACAACAATCAGTGAAACTCATCTGGAATCCTCTAGGAACCCCAATTTGCTTCAAATACAGCTGCATCTTTTACTTTGTGAAACGGATCCCAGATCTGTGAATCCTTACAGTGGATGGACAGATTCACCCAAGTGAGATGCCATATTGCATCACGTTTTTTTATGAGTGTAGCCGACTTGTCAGCCCAAAGCAGTAAATAAACTGGATTCGTAACAGTGGCAAAGGTTACGCGTATCACAGCTTTCTATTTTAAACAATTCAAATATTTACACTAGATGTGTAATATGCGTGTTCAATGCTTGTTTTAAGTTTCTTATATCAGATACATATACGCTTCTATTTGGCAAGGAAAAACAGGAAAACAACATCTGATGTCAGGTTCTTCTCACAGGCCCCGCATCAACCGGGATGAGGAAGAACAATGGTGAGTCTTACCCTTGGTGATCTCTCTATAAAATAATATGCAAAACCTAAACTTACCAGACTCTAGGTGAATCCTACCACCTACTAGGTGTTCTGAATTGTGCAGGATATTTCTGTGTTTTTTTTTTATATTTCTGGAATCGAATCAGTTTTACACATTTGACTGGGTTTCGAAATGCTTTCCATACTCAGCTCTTGAAGCTGAGTATGGAAAGTATTTAATACAAAATATAGTTCAAGAAAATAAAACCCAGATAAAACAGACTGATGAGCACCTTTTTCCTGGGCATGGCCAGACTTACCCAGACCTGATGAAGCTATCAGAAGCTATTCTCTGGTCAGAAAACCTTTACTGTGGAGGGTACTTTGCAATGGCTGGTTTAAATTTCAATTTTCAAACCTATGCACGTAAATACCTTTTATGTTCGTGATTTGAAAACACAAAAAAGTTTCTGACATCCCCTGCAAGCTGTCTGACTACCCCAGTTAAGCTCCACTATCCATTATAATTTAAGATATAAAGAAATCTAAGATAAACACTTATCATCTAACTGCAAACTACATCAATATGATCAGATTTTGACTTGCAATGCTAGAAATATTTAAGTTTGAAGAGGCAGATCAATGTTTTATGTAATCTAACTTTTATAAAACAGTAATACTTGGAATTTATGGGTAGACTGCTAATACAGGAGGACATTGAGAAAGAGGGTTTGAATATGGTAGTTTCCCAACCAAAACGGGAGTCTTAACAGCTATGTGCATGTATGCCACTTCGCTGTGATTACATGCTCTTAAAGCGCCTGGTGTATTTTCAATTTTACGTGTTTTAGCTGCCAATCTAAACATGGTGTCGGTAGAGGAGGACCTTAAAATCTTCCACTTTTAGTTGCTATGAATGACCATCCAAACTTTTTGTCCAGTGAGAGCTTTTACAAAGTAAAGAAAGTATATAACGGAGTGGGGTCAGCTAAGGTAATTTAATCCAACAATGAAGTTTACTTTGGTGTTATGTTAGAAACAAGGCTTTTTAGTCTGCAACTAGTCTTTCCCCCCGGGCAAAAATTGCTAGTTTGTTTATCCAACACTGAAGCAAATCCATAGCAAAAGTTATCAGCTGCTGTTTTCTTCAAAGACAAACAGGCGACCCAAACCTTCTTTCAGGTTTGTTTCTAGGGAAATTTTCCATTTCTTTCATGATTAATTTTAGCTGATATAGTAAGGGTGAGTATACCTACTCCTGGTAAAGAAAGCTACTTTCTTTATGCAACATTTCTTCAAAAACAAGAAAGAGGCGTAAGGCTAACAAGTTTCTGCCCTTACAGTATGGCTACCGTAATCAATGACGGCAACAAAACATGGTGTCTTCCATTCCTAGAGGGTGCATCTCTACCAATACATTTAGAAACTCATTGTAAACTTTTAGGTCACGTTCAGTTTTTAATGTGACTGTCATCAGACTTTGGCAGAAGATTTATTTATGAAAGCGCAACTTGATGTTTGCAAATGAAAAGCCAGACTTTCCATTCAAGTCTGTTTCAAGTCTGCTTCTTTTGTTGCTTCCAGGGGAATTCTCAGGAACCAGGAAGCTACACACTGTACTAAAATAGCTCTGTGCCACACCTCTAGGTTTGAAAGGAAAATAAAAAAAAAACTTGACTGATGTTGTTGATGGAGAGGACTGTTTAAAGGGAATTTTGCTTCCATATAGGGTGACAAATGCTTAATTTTGCAGTAAATGTCTTACTTTTTGCTATTATTTCTGGTCTTCTTTGCTTTATCTTTGACCTTTCTGCTCTTTTCTTTAATATTCATGATGCCATTTGTTCACTAATGTTCTCTAATACACCTATGAAGACTTCACAGAACACGACCATTTATAATATAAGATTATACACACATGGAGTCCAGATACTAATCAGGTGGCTTAGAGTTTGATATGATATGATATGTATATATATATATATATATATATATATATATATATATATATATATATATATATATATATATATATATATATATATATATATATATATACATACACACACACACGTGTCACAATATCCTTGTGGGGACCTTCCATTGACTTCCATTCATTTCCCACTAATTTATATGGCCCAACCATGACCCTTGCCCTAACCCTAACCATTACAGACACATACCTATCCCTAAACCTAACCTAAACTCAATTCACACCTTAGTCCTAAACCTAACCCCGACCCCAAGAAGAGAAACTTTCCTTATGGGGACCAGTTGTTGGTCCCCACAAGTACCTATGAGTCCCCAAAATGTAGCATATTTCTAGGAAATTATCCCCACCAGGTATTAAAGACATGGCCACACACATACATACACACACATATATATATATATATATATATATATATATATATATATATATATATATATATATATATATATATATATATATATATATATATATATATATATATTTTACCTTCCAACTACCTCTGGATAATGCACAGCTATGATTTTGATCATGAATCATGTTTTTGTTTTCAAAGCCTGAAACCAGTTGTGAGCAGATATTTTAAGAAGTTTATGACCAGACAACACACACCCAGGCAAGCTTTTTACTTGAACTTCCTTGAACATGTTTAATCTAATTATAAACCTCACCGAATTCCAACTGCAGTAAAAAAAAAAAAAGACAATGTTCAGTGCTTGTGAGTTACCTGATCTTGGTTTGAGTCCAAAGACAGTCAACGTGGTGCTAAAATCGGCATTGCGTAAGCCCTCCTAAGAACACAGACATTTGTCACACTCCACCATTGAGAAAGCTTTAAGTTCGATGCGATTTGGAAACTCACCTCGCAGTCTTCGTTCCCGCTGGAGTTTTTACGAGCGCTCTGACATTTGTACTGTCAAGAAAAGAATAGAAAATTTTTATGATGCATTTTTAATTCTCTCTTTATGATCTTTTCTGCAGCTGTAATAATCTTAACCTTCAATATTTGTACAAACAAAGGGGAAGTATTATAAGTAAATAGACTTTTTTATTGCAATGACATCCTTTCTGACTGCATGATGTCAAAATTTATCTAGGAGGGTAAAAAATTACCTTTTTTTGATATAATCGTTTATAAAAGTATAGTGAGACAAATTTTGGAGACCTTTTGTCAATCCTCCGTTCCACATCCCAGACAGCGGCAGTTTGTCTGCCGTAGAGAAAGATTGAAGGATACAGACATCAGAATGTGCGACTGATCCTTGGTGCAAAAATGTCTCTAGAGTTAAGGCTTCTCTCTTTCACTCTTCTCTACTTTCATCTCTTAATTTTTCAATGCTATTTAGGTCTGTGGACTGATAAGGTTCAATTTGAATCTGGTGAATTATTAATGTTACTCAAAATTCCTGTTTATATAAATCGATAACAAAAGGGAGGCACAATTATGCACACAGGGAAGGGATTAAGGACAAAAGGAAAAAAGGAGAAATTAATAGACGATAATCCTTAAAGGACACAAGGGAGAATGAAAAGACTGATACTGTGTGGAAAATCAGCTTTAACTGCTAAGTTTGTGTCTGGAAACAAGAAATTTGACAATTGTTCCACTTTCGGGACACCTTGAGTGTAACTGTGCTTTGTATTGATCTAAATATTCAAACAGTTTACTATGGGGCACCGTTTGTAAAGTTAAGCAAAAATTAGGAGCAATATTCATGGTTATTTACCATGTTTAAGATGAAAAAAAGGGGGTAATTCTTCCCCAAGTCATTATTTCACTATGTCATTCATCCATCCATCCATTTTCTATCATGCTTATCACAAGCGGGATTGCGAGGGGTACCTATCTCAAGGGCGAGAGGCAGGGTCCACCCTGCACAAGTCGCCAGTCAATCGCAGGGCAACACAGAGACAAACAGGACAGACAACCTTTCACACCAAGGACATTCAAGGACAAGTTAGAGAAACCTATGATGTCATTCATTCATTTATAAAACCCTTACTTTGTGAAATAAATATTTAGTTTGGAGCAAAATATTTAATTTGCAAATTAGATTTTTAGCTTGTTAATTAAATATTTAGCTCCAACATAAATATTTAGTTTTTAAATAAATATTTAGCTCCAGACTAAATATTTAGCTAGCTTGGTGCTAGCTAAATATTTATTTAGTTAAATAAATATTTAATTTGGAGGCAACTATTTATTTAAGAAACTAAATATTTAGTGTGGAGCTAAATATTTATTTAACAAAATAAATATTTTGTTAGCACCAAGCTATTTGTTAGCTAAATATTTAGCGAATAGTACATTTGTTTTAAGAAATGGGAAAATGTTTAATGCTATGTTAACCTGCTCCACAGAGCTACAACCATGCACATGCAGCGTCACTGTGTTGCCATAGCAACAACTTATTTCCTTTCCGCTGGGCTGGAGGGAAGAAGCCATTACATTCTTGTCCATTAAAAAACTAAATATTTAGTTTGGAGCTAAATATTTATTTAACAAACTCAATATTTATTTAACAAAGTAAGATTTTTTATAAATAAATGAATGACATAGTGAAAAAATGACATGGGAAAACATTTTTAACCCCTGTTGTTGTTGGTGTTCCACAGAAGGTATAGTTTCTGTTGGAACATCTTCAGAACTTTATTTCTGTGTGAGAAACCTTTTGTGTCCCGGGAACTCTTGGCTCCTGGGAACCCGAAGTGGGCCATGGCAGAATCAAAGCTGTTAATAAAGGTGAGGGGTAGCCTGGTGAGTTAGGATATTCTCAGAAGTTTCACCATAATCTCAAGTGCACTCAGAGTAAGGAATATGTCGTCTGTAACAGTCAGACATCATTATAGCAGCCTTTGTTAAAGAACAGTGAAAGAAGATTCCGACTCCTCTATTTTTCCGAGTACTCCACCCTGCTGTTTATGCAAAACAGGTTTTGCAGAGATTTCGGAGATAAGAAGCATTACCTCATTCATTTTATTAGCTTCACAAGTACAACCGTCTTTTAATCTCAGGTGTGCCTCTGGTAAACCCATAGAGCACCATGTAGAGAAGAATACAGAACACATGGAGAAAATGAATCAAGAGTCGCTTTCCCACTGAAAACCCAGATTTTTCTAAACCGGATTGACCTGCTAACAATTGGCTTTTGGTTATTTTTCCATTTGACCGAAAAGCCAAGTCTGACCCACTGCTGCATGTCTGATGACGATGATGATGTCAACAGTGCAACGGAAATCAGGGATGTAAATAATGGAGAGCAACATGAACAGCATTTAACATGGCCAGGGTGTAGTCAGTATTCTTTATTATTTTGCTCTTATCTGTCTGAATTCCTCTCACCAAAGCTGACCCATATTCATCGATTGTAAACAGAGTTGTTTTGGTTTGTTAGGTTTGTTTGTTGACATCTGTACATTGTGTTCCATGGTGTCACGTAATTTAGGTCAACCCGGGTCTGGTGCTCCGACTGCATGCCAATCAGATCGGACGCGATTTTAACACGGGTCGCTTGCCAAGTCGTTTGACACAGGTGGATGTGTCAGTTAGACGTTGCTACTGCCATTAAAAGCAGATTGTTCCCGGGTTCAAACAGGTTTTTCAGCCAATGTTAAAGGGGTAAAAGAAACACTGGAGAAAAGAAAGAGGGACACAAAGGAGGAAAGAAATTGAATGAGACAGAATATGATGACTGCAAATCCAAGGATTTTATCGACCATATTATGTGCCTGGTGGCCAGTGTTGGGCACGTTACTTTGAAAAAGTAATTAGTTATAGTTACTAGTTACTTCTCCTAAAAAGTAACTGAGTTACTAACTGAGTTACTCCACAATAAAAGTAACTAGTTACTAGTAAAAGTAACTATTGCGTTACTTTTACGTTTCTCGCCCCTGTAACCCTCACCACCCAGCCCCCACCTTCTCGCCGTGTGTTTCCAAAGCCAGCTGAATAGAGCGGACGACAAAGACAAGAACCTGCAGAGAGTTTAGCATTTATTGCAACTCAACGTAAATGACATCAGGGGGGAACGCCATGTGAAGTTTTTTAACAGGGCATTCAGATCTGGTGAAATTAATAACTGGGGGTGTGTAATTCTGAAATCCTGTGTGTTTGGGTTGTTATAGATACTGCAACATCTATCTATCCATCTATCTATCTAGATGTATACTCTGTGTGTGACATAAAATATGGATCTCCATCCCTGCCACAAAGGCCATCAAATAATGTTTAAAATAAAAAATACAGTAGGTTGAAAAGGCAGAGTATCCATCCATCCATCCATCCATCCATCCATCCATCCATCCATCCATCCATATTTCTCCCTTTCTCCATATAGGCTATCATTTCTGGCTGTTGTCAGGTTCATTTGATCGTTCACGCTCTCCATAGTTCTCCTGTGGCGCGAGCACAGGGCGACTATTGCGCGCCTTTAGCTAGCATGCGCGTTTCCTGTCGCTTGCGCGGTGACTCGTGCCGCCTGCGCTGTGTGGAGATGCAGGGGAAACCGTATGTGATGGGGAAACGCAGCTCGGCGTAACACCGGTATTTCCATCTGGAAAACGCTGTTTTGCTGCTGGAGTCATCCTCACTCTCCATCTCTCTGTGTGTGCTGTACATTAACACCCGCCAGCAGAAACACCCACCTCCCCAACTGACAGACGGAATCTCATCATACATCAGCCATTCTCATCCTCCCCTCTCTCATGACAAGGCGCGCACCTCTGGAGGACCTAAAAAATAATCTTTAATATCTCTTAAATAAAAGTAGCACAAACAATATTTTTTTCTGCACAAATCTGCACTAACGTTGCACTAACCATTAAGTCTATTTGCAGAGTTTTTTGACGTGGGTGGGGTGTCAGCTTCACGCAGCTGCGCACGAGTCCTATCATGAAAAAAGGTTCATTGTGCGACCTGAGTAACGCGCAGTAACGGGGTGTCTGCAATGGTAACTGCGTTATAGTTACACTCAAAGTAATTAGTTAGATTACTCGTTACTAAAACAAGGTAACGGCGTTAGTAACGCCGTTACTTTCAACGCCGTTAGTCCCATCACTGCTGGTGGCCTAGGTAAAGTGTTTTTCTTTTGCATATTTTAAATGTGTTTTTGTACACTAGTAACAAGGGTAGAAAAGGTGACCTGGTTGAAACCTCAATGGAAAAATCTGTTGTGCAATATGTGAACACATTTTTTTATCAATTCCAAAGAACCACTGTCCATCTCTACCCATTAACATTGTTCTTGTTTTAGCAGCAGAGGAGACATGAACTCTCTCGTTTACCCAGCAACCAAAAGCAGTATACTGTACTGAGCGGAGCGCAGCATATGAGGCAAACCATCCAGCAAGCATAACATCAGAACATCCCTCTGCAACCGCAATTCTCAAGTTCGGAGCAGCGTGTATGACCTGAAATGTTTTGATTAACTTACATTTAGCAGATAGCTCTACAGAGTAGAGTAAGCAAGTAAAAAACAGCTATTAAATTCAATATTTGATTAGCTTTGTTTTGTAGTTAAAGCTTTTTTTGTGGTTTGTATATTCAGTGTGCCAGAGTATACCTGTATTTTCCTCATACACCACATCACACACCAAATCAAAGCTTTATTTCATTGCTGCTGAACACTCCATAATAAAGCTATGTCTCCTTCTGACTGAGGGAAAAAGAACAGACTTATGTCATAGGTCGCCATGATAAGTGTTGTCCACATAGTGCTGGCAGTAAGGCAGAAGGATTTTGACAAATACACATAATTTTTTGACATCTACTATGCATGGGACATGCAAATGTCCACACTTTCATAGCTTAATTTTGGTTTGGTGATGGAGAGCTTTATTCATTAGCTACATTTTTTTTTTTTTCACTTTTAAAGTTTCCATAATTTTATTGCCACTATTATTCTGCCGCATATGCGCAGAAGTCTGCTACTGCAAACGCAAATAAAGTAATAAGCACATCAACAGCTCTGGATGGATGCACTACGGTCAGCTGAGGTAGAGACACGGTCTCTCCTTCCCTCTGTTGTCCATAGTGGAACCCATACAATGGCCGTACATTGGTGACAAATTTCAAGGTGAGCACAAGCAAATGAGAGACAGCAGTTTGTTGGTGTTAGCACAGGACAAGAGCAGATTAGATCTGCCGTAGGGGAGTATGCCAGGTAAACAGCACACCTACGTGGATGAGCGGGGCTGTGTCTCTGCTGGAGGTAGGACCACGAAACAGTCCTTCTACGGATAAAATGAAAACGCTTTTTTTAAAGCCACCCATAAACCTCTTGAGAGCATACCCCACTTCATTCTTTGTCAACATTATTTTCTCTATCTTCTATATTGATTAAAGCAGCTGAGATCATTCCCTGGATCCTTCGCAGTTACCCTAGGTCAACTGTGGCCTCTCTCCACCCTGGCGTTGTTTCCCCAGTGGACTTACCCAAACTTCCGCTGTGTTCCTCAGAAAAAAACTAATTCAATAAGAACTAGCTTCTTATTGACCACTTGATCGTTGATCGTGACTGCCGATTGACTGGTGGAAGTCTAATATCAACATCTGATATAGCTGTGGGATGGTTTAAAATTGTCTAACAAAAAACATGCAAAGCCTTTCTAACTTTAAAACCTTTTTATTATTTGTCCCCCTGTATTGTATCAGAACTATTCCTTCACTGCTACATTACAAGTGGTTTCTCATACCAGGAGCCACTGCAGTATTGGGAAGTACTGTACCCCCACCAGCCATTCCTTCTAACTGGTTAGGACACAGTTTCTCTGAAGTTTGTCAAGCTGCTATACATAAGGCTGGCTGCGCTACAGGTGGAGACAGGAAAATACAGAACCTGAATTTTCGCCTCTGTACACGGTGAGACACCATCTCCATGACTGTGCCATGAAGGGTACAGCGGCTCTCACCTGAAGAAGCTGCCTCAGGCTCGCTTTAGATCGAACAGATCTATCGATTGCCCACAACTTCAAAAGCCTAAGAAGGCTGTCATAACCTCAGTTTCTGTCAAGGGTTTGTTCCCTATCTTTGCTAGATGAAGCTATAATTAAGACCGGAAGTTTTGAATTTGACTGACGTGACTATGCGGCGCATCTGTTGCAGCAACAATGTTGCGGTGAAAGTTAATAAACAGACAATTCTACTCTACAGCCTGAACTGTTTAAGAAAGATTTTGACCAGATTCTATTTATAAATGTAAACGTTTAAATATTACCTGAGTGGCATGCATCAAATAAATAAATATAGTTTTTTATCCTTAATAAATAAGCAATTAAATATTTTTCACTTATCTAATTAACTATTGATTATGTTTCTTTTCCATATATATATATATATATATATATATATATATATATATATATATATATATATATATTATGGGTGTAACGGTTCACAAAATCCACGGTTCGGTTCGATTCACGGTTTCTGGTCACGGTTTTCGGTTCGATACATGTTGATTGTTACACCGAAATTCCATAAAAATTTATGGAATTAATGAAAAAATCCCCCAAAAAAATAATGGATTGTAATTATTTTAAATGATCCGCGTAAACCCTGGATCATTTCCGTATGTTTTGCTGCTTTGAATTTAATCATCTCGCGCATGCTCTCTACCATATCCAAGGGACTCAGAGGGGAGCGGACGAAGCCACAGTGGAGGCTGTAGGCTTTGCTTTGAGTAGCCGGTCTGGAGCGCAGCGGGGCGGAGCGGGGGTTGCTGACGGAGTATGAGGGATTTCGGGGTTAGCATGACATGTTGGTCATGTTGCTGTTAGCGTAAACAAAACGTGTTGCACAATGCTCGCACAGTGTTGCACTTTTATCCACAACTTTCTTTCCGCCGTCATCGTAGGTCACTCTAAATGCAAAGCGCTCCCATACAGCAGACCTATAAAGTGCTCCTCGCGCATCTTCCAACTCCTGTTCTTTCCCACTCGCCATTCCGACACAATTCTCCACAACAACAGGTTTTTTTTCCCTGCTACACCCAGCTAAGCTGCTTCGCTTCTTCTTCTTCTTGTTTACTACTGGTAGTTGGCTTTGGTTGTAGTACCGCCACCTTCTGCTCTGGAGTGTAAACGCTTCGCCTATGAGAAAAAGGAGCAGCGCATGAACCGAACGAAACACACGCGAACCGAACCGAGACAGTCGAACCGAACGGTTCTGACAGTTTTCATAAATCGTCCCATACCTAATATATATATATATATATATACATATATATATGTGTGTGTGTGTGTGTGTGTTCCAGGTTTGCAACTGAAGCTTTTAAACTAGCACAGTAGTTAACACGAGGCACATGCTGATAATTGGTGATTTTAAAATGCATTGGCCTTCTTTAGGTGATCAGTTTGTCAGTTCCATGTTTGCACTTTACATAATGTATTTTAGTTTAAACTATGACCAGCATTACCACACTTATTTTAAGATTTGCTGACTGATGACTTCATTAAGATTCAATTTAAGTGAAAACGATATATATTCTGATGGTTTTTTATTAAAAAAAAAAGGGGTATTTCAAGGCTATGCCTTTTAGGACTCTATAGTATGTGTTCAAGTATCAACAGTAATATCTTAGATTAACACATAACTGAATATTCATATTTTAACATTTACTGTCTACTTTTACATTTTCTTAACACACATGCTGGGGTAAAGGTGGGCTACTCTAGCGATATGTCTACCACTATTCTTGGCTAATTTTTTTGGAAATACTAAAATAGAAATCTCTTTTATTTTCTTTTTTTTACTTATCAAGACTAGGCCTGTACTTATTTTCAACAGAACACTGGAACTGGTTAACAAAATAAAACGAGAAATAAAAATTAAATGGACCCTTAGTCTCTGTTAACTAAAAATACACTTGAATAAAAACTAAACACAAGATAAAACCAAAGTGGAAATAAAAACTACATTCAACCAATAGAGTACACGTAATGAAGTCTGTATATCATTAGATTTTAAAAAAGATAGGCTTTTCAACAATATTAAATGGGAGCCTCTCTTTAGCAATTAAACGAACTACGCTGTCTGTGAGAGCGCGCCACTTTGCGCCGTCCTTTTTGTATGCTGCCTGTCGATAAATTCCTTCAGTTATGGTGGACTGTCACAAACTTGAAGATTCAGACGGGCCACCGCTTATACTTTTTGTCCCCAGCTGGAGAAACTTTGCTGGGTGGTTGTGCTTTAGGTGCATGGGTAGGTTTGATGTATTGCTGTTCTTAGTTGCTACTGTTTTATGACAAATACGACATACTCGCTCGCATAGGTTCAGCAGTTCACCTTGGTCATTTGGTTTTGGGTTTGAATCCGCAATACTCCCACACTGCAGCTGTTGCATTCGGCTTTGAAACCAGTTCCATTTCGAATTTTTCCCCAGACATAAGGTGTGTTTTTTTACCTCACTAATTCCTCTAACTCCTCATGGGGCTCTAAAGCTGCAGAAGTACAAAATGATGCGCACTGACTACCTGATGCGATAGTCTCCTCCTTCTTCCCTACTCATTTATTTCCTTGCTAAAAAATGAGGAAGGAGAGGGGTCAGTGGAACGCACCGGAGTTAAGCCTTGTCATCCAGTATCATCCATAGAAAGAGAAAAACACAGGCAGAGACGATATAGCCGATAAATTAAATGACGTAGATAGTTTTTATTTATTGTGCGATTAATTGATTTATTGATTATCGCGACAGGCCTAATCAAGACTGAAAAACAGTTTCCATCCTGACATCAATTCTGAACACTCAAAGAAAGCTTTTATTTTTTGTGATTATGGCGTTACTTATTGCAGTATAAAAGAATATATTCTGAGGCTTCTGAACTGGTTTAACTCCTACATGAAGAGCAGGTTCTTTTATGGGTGTCAGTAGGTCAACTTTACATCACAGACCAGAAAAAAAATCCCTTGGTATTCCAAGGGTCCATCTTTGGGCCCCTCCTATTCAACATAATCCCCCTAACTCAGATTATAACAGAAAACAAAAGCTATCACAACTCTGCAGAAAACACACAGCTGTATTTTATAATCTCACCAGGTGATAATCAACCCATCTAGACATTAGGGAAATGCATGGATGTACCAAAACTTTCCTCAGCTGAATAAAAACAAAGCTGATGTAACCATTTTATGATCAAAGGAAGAAGAGTATTTTATATTAAATCTAAACATTATTGGCTTAGGTTTCAGTCAAACTTTTCTATACATGAGGTATTATTTTATTTTAATATAATCTTTTTTAATAAATTACTTTTATGCTCCTGAATTATTCATGTTGACGTTATGCCAATGCAATGTATTTGCATTTTATCTCTTTAACTACAGCACTTTGTCACGCTATTGAAATGTGTCATAAATAAACTTCCCATGTCTTCTTAAACAACTTTACTTCATTTTGGCATTAAATGTAAGAGGTGCTGTAATTATAGTATTTAAGTCTCTTGAAAATAAGAATATGAACATAGATAATGATAGTAACTAGTTGGGTAATGAATTCAGAAGAACAATTACCAAAAAATATTGTCAGCATTGTATGAAATTGTACACATAATTATAGGGTGGATTCAATGCTTGCCGCACCTTTAGGTAGTCCTTCCGCAGGTACTTGTTCCGCTTGCGATCTTCATTCTGGTTGAGCACAGGAGGAACCTCGGGCCAGTTTGGATCACAGTCTGACTGTCCTGATTTTAAGCTTCCATCAAAAGAGTAAGACGAAGAAGGCTGAAACCCCAAAAGTTTATTTCAAAATCAGTCCAGTTCACAAAAAAAACAAACAACTAAGGCAGGTTTAATTGTGCAGAAAATGGCTTTGTACCTGTCCACTCAGCACTGATACGCCACTGCTTCCTTCATCCAGAGAAGCACTAAAAATGGCACAATTATCATAGGAAAACTTTAGTACTGATTGATTTTAGCAGCTCACCCAACAAAATGTTCCTCTTTTAAAGTCAGACGTCTTACAGCAAACTGCAGCAAACCTGTTGAACCTGTACTTAAACTGATAAATGCTTCAGGAGACAATTTAAACCTAAACGTTGTAATGAAAGGCTGTGTAGGTAACCTCTTGTGGTAATTCATGACAATTTCAGCTTACAAAGTTAGAGAAAGGTTTTAGATTGTTTAATATTAATCATATTTTGGGGAGTCCTTAATTTTTACAGTTTGTATCTGTGTTTGGTTATTCCAAAAAGTGGAAAACAAACCACTGGATTTGTTTTCCAAGTTTGAAAAGGTTTCGCTTCCCATCCAGAAAGATTTCTCAATTCAACGTTTTGAATAGAGAAAGCTTTCTGGATGGGAACCGAAACATCTTCAAACTTCGAAAAAAAAGTCCAGTGGTTTGTTTTCAACTTTTTTGGATTGCCTATGATCTGGATGACTGAGAATCTTAACCAGTATCTGTGCTTGGCTACAACATTACAACCTGGAGTTAATATAAAGGAACCAATAAGCTCCAGATCTGTGTATTTAAGATCGCTAACTGAATTAAGCTGGATTGGATCATTCATTTTTTTGATATTATGATTGATTGAGAGTCGTACCTTCGAGCGGCCTGAGGCGGTGGCCTTGGTTTACTGCTGCAGCTTCCGGAGTGACTCAGAAATCTACAAAGGAAAACAAGGGCAGACATACTTATATCTTACTAAACAAGTGAAACAGGCAGAACTCTTATGAACCAACGCATAGCAAGTGAATTATTGTCAATGACGTGGTACTTTCCCGAATGGGCAAACGTGTGCGCCAGAAGGTGTTCAATGGAAATTTAAGCAACGTTATCTGAATATTGGAACCAAGGCTTGTTGTGAAATGTTCCTTTAGAAAATAACCCTGATTCATAGTTGACAAATCATCCAAAACTCCACACATCTGCCTGCAATTAATTTACTAACCGCTACTGTAAAGATTTTAAAAAGGTAGTGTGTGAAAAAGCTGCTCTTTCTTCCATGGATATCTCCATCCTTGGTGCTGGCGTGAGAACAAAAGAATAATAATAATCTGCTATGGACATTAAAGTTATCTCAAACAACTGTTACCGCCTGCGGCAATAGGTCAGGGTGACAAGTTTGCCGTTTGCTTGCTGATCAGTTATTGCAACACTGTGACATCCTGTGTTTACAAGAAACTTTTTTTTAGCCGAGCAGGCTAGACTTAAAAGGATTACATTTAATTTTTCAAAGTGCTGTAGAGTCTTCTACTGAACTCGGTTTGGGAATTAAAAGAAGGGTACCAAGAAGAGTGACTATATTGTTGGGAAAAAAAGGCTGGACTAAGTGATATATGTCATTAAATTTGGAGTGGACTAGTGGACTGTAATAAATGTAATACAGCATAACAAAGAATGTAAAATTTTAAATGTGCATTTGAATGCCATTATTATTATGTAGACTTTCTTAGTAAGCTCTCTTTTATTAATTATTATTATCATTATTCAATGAACCCCTTCCACTGAATAAGTTCATATTTTTAGTAAACTTGAACTGAACGGAATAGTTTTAAAGTAATGAACGTGAACCAGAGTGACGTTCACTCTTAGAATAATGAGCGGCACACACATCTCATGTTTGCATGCAATTAATAACACTTTTTATTGGATGACGTCAGGTTTTACAGCACGGCAAACAAAGCAGAATGCTTACTGCTAGTAGTAGTCTACATAATTCAAACTCATCTGCTGGTATTTATGACGCCAGTTTTGCAGAGAGCTTAGCAGAGTTTTATTGACTAACAAAGGAAGACTTGGACATAAAAAAAGCTCAAATTTTCATGCAAACTGTGCTTACTGGGACTTAAGAAACAAGTCCGAACACCAGCCAGTGTCCACTTCAAACTTATAGCGACACATTGCGTTAAAGCATTAGAGCCATCTTGGGAAATATCTCCTACTAAATGAGGAAATCATTTTGGATAAAGACCTTTTCAGAAGAACCTGAATGCTGCTGTATTTTTCTGAAGTTCTATGTAACTGCGCTTAATAAAGGCTTACCATATACCTTGACTGCATTCAGTATTTTGCATTACTTTCTATATATTATGATCACACATTTAAAGGGTGAAATATGAGGTTCTATTGTGAAGGATTGTGTTATGGTTCTCATTTGTTGTGACTCTGAGTTTTCTGTTATCAGTTGTTTTGTTTTTATTTTCCATAATATTCTAGCATTCTTTAGTTACTCTCTGTTGCCCCCTTGTAATTGTTTTCTTTCCCCTTGGATTCCCTCTTGCCAGTTCCACCCACACCTGCTCCTCATTCAGCTCGTTAGTCCATCCTTTGTTTTGTTCTCCTTAAATACTCCACCTCTGCAGTCACTCAGTGCTGGTTCCTTCTCAATGCTGTACTCATCTACTCAGCTCATCTCCCCGTGGCTCCTCAGGCTCGTTTTCTCCCTGATGTCTCCATGGTTTTTGGTTTGTTTAACTTTCTAGTTAGATTTCTGGATTTGTACCTCTGTTTCCTTGTTCTTCAATTAAACCTGTCAGAACTATCTCTGCTTCACTCGGCTCTGCATCTGGGTCCTTAAGCAACCTTACCCCCCCCGCTCGTGACAGATTGTGGCTTAATTTACCAAATAAACTTGAACTAGTTAACCTGTCAGACACATGAGGACCCAAATTTGGGTCCTCAGCACTAGCCCCTACAAGATCAAGTGTCCAAGAGGTTTATAGGTTTGTGAACTAAGTTGATTTAGGAAAAAGTGAACTATGAATGTGAGATCATGTGAGATAAAAACTCTGTTTGCTAAATCCTTGATTCATTTTTGTACAGATTATAATTTAATACTATCAGGTAGAGGATTTCTGCCAGCAGCTAGTTATAAGTGAAGTCTGGTATTCTACCTGCTTGTTGGACCGTTCTACTACAGCAGATACTCATGCTCCTTTGGTTTACATCCAAATTTTTACAGTGTGTACCCTGTCTATCATATCCCTCTAAAGCTGCCAATTAGATTAGATTATATACCTGCAACTGTTATTTGTAGTTAGTCATCATAGCCAGACACACATAAACTGGTCCTTAATTTCTGCTGAAAAACTAGGCCATAATTATGCCCAAATTACCAAGTAGGTAATACTAAATTTCTAGATTGCATAATTAATAGTGAGCATAGGACAGGCATAGAAATTGAATTGAACTGATTTGAAGATGCCCCCTATTATCATGAGAGCCTAAAACTAAGCAGAAGCTCAGAGTAGACCACGCGTTTGCTGTTGCAACTTTAAAGATCTGTAATGATTTGCCTCAGCAAATCGGACAGGCCTCTTCTCTGACCGTTTTTAAATCTCTGGTCAAAACCCACTTTTCTCTTTCGCATTTAACAGCTAACAAGACAGCGGGCTATATATATATATATTTTTTTTATCTTTTTTTAACTTTTATTCCTTTTATCCTTTACCCAATTTTATCCATTCAATAGTATGAATGTTATTTGTATCCATGTTTTAGCGGTTTTGTATTTATCTGTACTGTTTTATGTTTCCCTTTTTCTGTAAAGCACTTCGGTCTGCTGTGTTTTTTTTTTTTAACAAATACAATTGGATTGGATATCATTTCCTGTGGTTAAATTAGAGGCAAAGTTAGCAGCTCTGATAATTACAGACTCATTGGCTTTGCAGTTAGACAGAAAGTCTTGTAACTTATTATCTTGCCAAAATTTGCAAAAATACTAATGTCTAAAGACAATCAGTTTGGGTTTAAATCTAAATAGGGCAGTGCTTGATGCAAATTTGTCTAGAAGAATTATTAAGTATTTATAATAGCTGTGTGCCTAAATATACAGTGAGATATCTGCACCCTTTCAGGTTAGTGATGGAGTTGGGAAAGGAAGTATTTTATCCCCTTTATTGTTTAATTTCTATATGAATGACCTTTCTAAGCAGTTATGTTTTTATTTGAAAAAAAAAATATATATATATATATATGACCCAATGTCAGTGAACTATTTGTGCCTCTTGTTAACTCTTCATTAGCTGCTTTACAAAATATTGTGTCCATTTCAGAGGCGGCATCTGGTATCTAGGCCTTTAGTGGGTATCCCTCAACTGAATCTTCTTCTAAACCTCTAGTTAGGCTTCCAGGTACCGACACAGCCCTCATAAAGGTGTTCAATGACATTGTTATGAAGAACCATGGTGCTGGTATTAGTGGACATGGTATATTACTGACAGATTCAGAATCCTGCTGCCTGCAGCCTCACTAAAGCTAAGAAACTAGAGCACATAACCAAAGTTAATCTGAAGTCAGCCACTGGCTCCCCGTATCACAGAGGATAAACTTTAAAATATTTCTGTTCGTCTATAAATCACTGAATGGCTAAACATCAAAGATATTGCAGACTTGTTGTCAGTGGACCAACTGCCCAGAATTCTGGGGTCTTTTGGCTCAAGTCTACTCTGCAAATGCAGAATCAGAACCAAACATGGAGAAGGAGCATTTAAGGATTAATATGATTCTGGCTTAACTGTGTAATTTGTCTTAAGGAAAATCCGGATGATTGGTCCCGCTCTTCTATTTTGCCACTGCAGCGTAATTAAGCCGAATTCCTGCACAATGATCTTCTATGTATATGTTGTGGGGCTTCTCACACAGCTGGTGCTAGACTACTGAAGCCTTTGAAGGTTAGTTGTCTGAAGCACTTCCATTATGCAGAGGTTGTCAGCAGCTTTTCTTAATTTTCAGTTATTCTTGGTACTTGCAATGTTCCATTTGCATGTGTTTTTTCTCCAGCTTTTATTGTCATTACACTGTCACAAGTACAGACCAACGAAATTAACTCTCTGCATTTAACCCATCTCCTTGTGAAGCAGTGGGCGGCCATTGTACGGGGCCTGGGAAGCAGTAAGGGGGTGAAGGGTCTTTGCCCAGGGACCCAGAGTGGCAGTCTGTGGGAGTGGGGCTTGAACTCAAAACATCTGGATTCCAAGCACAATGCCCTAACCACTGGGCTGCCATGTCTTTGCGGCTACTTTTGTGTTTACAACATGTTTTTTATTCTGCAGTTCTCTTTTTTTCTGTGATTGCAAGTTTTTTTTTCCTTTGTATGCTCTTTATGTAGTAGTCTCATTGTAGTGTTTCCAGTACTTTTTGATTCTGCTGTGAATTCATGCTTTGCATCACTCGGCTACGATATTTAAACAGTCCAGTGAAACATCAATAAGTTTAGTCTGTAGTCCTCCTTTTTTAATTTATTTTTTTTATCATGCTTACAAAATGCACATGCTATACAAATCAACTTGCCCTCACTTTCCTTGAATTAAGGTTTTTACAGATCAAATTGCTGCAACATGATGTGTAGACCAGCTGTGAAATGATTTAAAGGTAAAATCTTGTATACCTGTGTGCCCTGCCAGTCATTCGCCTTCGGTGGATTAGACTCTCCGCTCTGCAAATTAGGGACCGTCGTCTAAAAGGCCGCAAAACAAACACGCCACAGGGAGAAAGGAAAGAGCCAGAGAAGCATCAGAAGGCTGGCAGAGAGAAATTACAATACAGCTGAAAACAATTGAGGAAACAAAGGAACAAGACAGAACTGATGCAGCGGTATTTGTGACAATGAGAGGAAATGTTGCACAGAATAATTAGAAACAGAGTGAATTCATACCATGTGATATTTTTTTTTTATTTTGACCCCTTGCAATCACAAACCTTAACATATTTTATTGGGATAACGTGTGACAGACTAATACAAAGTACTGGCTTTCTTTGCAATGGAGGGTTATGAAGCCTAATAAAGTCAAAATATTTTCTTCAAAATGTCAGAGTGTTATGGAGCCAAATCGGCCTCAATTTTCACAAATACGTATATGCGATTCATACATGCACAAGACAAGCTCCACACACACACACACACACACACATACACAACACGATTCACACAAGCATACAAGATTCACACACGCCCAGCACATGAATGATCAAAGTATTTCTGGTGCATAAACTATTATAAATTAAATTACAATGTACCAATTGTCTTTACACTTCACTGCATTTGTTTGTGGATTTTTGAGACTCAGCTCAGCATACCGGGTCAGGCCAGCATACCCTTAGTAATACGCATGACAGAGTTTTACTCCGTCTCTGCTCTCGTTACATCCAAGCACGCTGTTTTATTACAAAAACTAGGTTCAGTGCACACATTAGGTTTAAAAGCAAACATTGCATGTCCGTTAGATGAGGATCTTATTAAAGAATGATCGGCATTCTTTCCACAGAGACTTAAATATTTATAGTGAGAGAATTCTAAAACCCAGTTAACAGGACTGAGATTTCTTTGTTTTTAGTTTGTTTAATATGAGTGACATGTGGATCATTTTATTTTTATTTATTTATTTATTTACAGCACATGAAGAACAACTAAAATGTATTCCGTGGGGGGAAAGGAATGACTTTAGGGTTAGGATTAGGATTCAGTGGTTGATACCAGCCTACTGAGCCTACTGGCACAATCTGACGCCATACTATGGGACTGATAACCTATAATAACGATTTGTTATAATTGAGACCGATTTCGCTCCATAGAGTGTAGTCAGATAAAGATTTTAAAGTTTTGTCATAGTTTCTGAGTATAATTTAGATCGAACCTTTTATTAGGCCATTCTAATAATTTAGATCAAACCTTTTATTAGGCCATTCTAATAATTTAGATCAAACCTTTTATTAGGCCATTCTAATCATTTAGATCAAACCTTTTATTAGGCCATTCTAATCATTTAGATTGGACCTTTTATTAGGCCATTCTAATCATTTAGATTGGACCTTTTATTAGGCCATTCTAACACAAAGATCATATGTGTTATAATGGGAATATAGTTTGCATGGATATTTTCAGTGCATAAGGAGAGACTTGTGCAGAGAAAACACATGGATAACTAGGAAGAACGGCATATAGATATCCTCAAACATCATTTTTACACCTGAAAACACAAATTGAAGCTTTGACACAAAGAGATAAAAGTTGGCTCTAGGTCAACAGAGTCATATCTATTTATCAAACACATAGAACGTGCTCCAGCGGAGCAAAAAGATGTGTATTTGAGTAAGGCAGTAATAAAAGACAGGAAACAAAGGAGCTGGCTGAATTTCAGGAAGTACAAAGTTGGGCATATAGCCTATTGTCCGGAGGAGAAGCCCTGCCATTTGGTCACGGTCTCTATTTTTCAGAGAGTTCTGATAGGTTTTCTTTCCAACACACAAGACATCTGTATATAGGCTGGGATACTCATTATGGGCCTCAGTACTTCCTGCTACTTTGAAGTTCTACTTCAGTTCACATATAATCCCAATTAAATTTGGTTCCTAAAAGTTCAAGATGGAAGAACGGTCTTAGTGGAGCCCATTGATAATAACACTTTTGTAAAATGATGCTAATCTTTTCCATCTAGTTTTTGTTGGTCACAGAGTAAATCCGTGGGCAGAGAAAACACTGGAAATGCTGAAAATCTGGTATCTCATTACAGTCCCTGATGTCAGCTCTTTGTCCCACCTACCGGTTCTGCTGTTCCTGCTGCAGAAGCTGCACGGCAATCTTCCTCAGATCCAGCACTTCTTTCAGCTCATCATCCTCTTCTTCTGCAAGCTGGTCCTTATCAGAACTGTCAGGGGATGAAGGATCAAGTTCAGAGTTTCATTTTAATCCTTTGAACATACAATTCTGGGCCTGAATTACTAAACAAAACATTCAAATCTATGTGAGCTCATGCTGTACTTATGCACATATTGATTAGACAGGACTCCCAAGCTGTAGGCTGTATAGGCAAAGCTTAGTAACAGAGCTATTGGTGTTGACATGAAGAGAACCAAACCTGCAGACAATTTACACCAGACTGAAGGGAGCAGAAATCCTTCAGAGCAATAATAAAGCCTTGTCAAACAAAATATATTCTAAACAGGACTTCAAACCAGCAGGCCCTTTGAATTCCTGTCTAAATAAATAAAATGAATGGTATAGCAACCAATCATCTTCATAGCAATTACCTTTCTGGGATTCTTTCTGGGAATCTCATTTATTTTAAATTGTTTCAGGCCATTCTGTAGACTAATTACTTAGTTTATTTTGGCTAGCAAAGCTTTCAAAGAGGTAAGGCCAATAAAAAGGAGAGCCAGGTTCCACAGCTTCAAAGCAACTGAACTGTTGTGAATAATGCAAAATGTTCAGTGTTATTTTTTGCAAAAGATAAGCAGGGTTTTTCATAATGCTTTAAGTACTTTAATGCCAAAAACATGTTAATTCCAATACTTTTTTTCCTTGTTTAAGGAGCAATCATTTTAACCAGGAGGTTTGGCTATTTTTGCATTGTTGAAACTTTAAGCATGGGAGGGATGGCACCCCAAGATTTAATTGACATCATTTTCTTACACAGAAACTTTCTGAAAATTCCCAGAAAGGCAATTTTGATCAAAAAATGAAATGATTTATAAATTTAAATGGTATTATTGGGCTTTACATGAAAAAAAAACAACTCTTTTGGTTACCAGCTTTTAATTCCTCTGAAACCTTACTGGTTTCTGCTGAACTCTGATGCGAATGGAGGTGAATCTCCATGGGTTACTTTATTTGGTGCCAAAGAAAGAATGCACAGAGATCCTCCCATTTTATAGCAGCAAAATTACAGTTACAATTATGGAACTGATCTGTTGATTTGTCCATGCAGTAGAATGGACAATTTCACTTTCAAGACTATAGTGTAAAATTAGTAATTTCAGATAAGAAATGAACTCTTCAAACCACATATATTATTGAACGTTTCAAACATAATGCAGTTTAACTAATGTTTACTTTATTTATCGCTGACCGTTCTTCTGGCTGATATCTTCAAATGATGTGTTCTGCAGAGATTTCAAAACCTCGTCATTCTGAGACTGCTAACCCACCCTCCTACCCCCCTTCAGATGCTCCAAAAAACAAGACTATAAAGTTTTCACGCTACAATGTTCAAACACATTTTTACTGGAATTAAATGAGTATAAATACGGAATAAATGGAAGAAGTAAGGTCAGTGCAGGTCTCACATGTTTTTGATATTCTAATCTGGAGTGGGCTGGGAAAACACCGTGTATTCATTATTCCCAACCACCATCTAGGTTGACGTGCCGGAAAACTGCCTTTGATATGCGAGGGCTGAGTCAGAGTGCAATAGAGCGTAAAAAGAGTTGGATGAGACAACCAGGCTGTTTTTGGATGTTCAAATTAAAAGCATGCCCCTTCCAGGCAATAAAATACTTATTTAAAAGCTAAATGTGGTATTTTTATTCACAGAGATCATTAATTTTAACTGCAGCTTAATTTTTTTTTTTTTTTGATTGTCTGATTGGATTCTGTAAAGAGGGACTTTAAATTATTGTGTTTTCCCTCAACTTGAGCATGTAAATAACTTGTCAATGGAATATGATGATTAGGTTTGAAATAACGCAAAATCACCTACATTATATTATACGTTTGTTTTGCTTCAGCCTACCGCTTCTAACTTTTTTTGTCCACCTTTTATTGTCTTTAAACTGTCACAAGTACAGTGCAACGAAATTTACTCCCTGCATTTAACCCATCGCCTTGGGGAGCAGAGGGCTGCCATTGTGCGGTGCCCAGGGAGCAGTGTGGGGTTAAGGATCTTTGCTCAGGGTCCCGGAGTAGCTGTCTGTGGAAGTTCGAACTTGGAATCTCTGGATTCCAAGCGCAATGCCCTAACCACTAGGCCACCACTCCCCAATGAAAGTCAACTTCATAACCATCACTGTTTTTTATTAGTTTCTGTATCAAGGCTAATGCATCTATTGGCTTCTGGCAAGATGTATTTTGGGGGAGTTTGTGAATTCATAATACTTGTGACAATTCATCCTAATTGCAAGGTACAAAATACAAATTTTATCTGTAGATAATTTCATCTACCTGCCTAAAGAGAAAAGAACTCTGCAATTGTTTTGCTTTTAGTAATTGTCCCAAAAGAGAAACATTTTTTGTCCAATAATATTGACTTAAAGGCCTAAAATTATTCCAATAAGGCCTTTTTTAATTTAACCATGATGATTTGAAACACTTTCTCTATGTGCAACACAATGCCCTCTTCAAATATTTTTATGGGAATTACACTAGAAAAAAATTCCCTTTCCATCTGCCAGTCACAAATCTGAACGTGTAGAGTTGGCAGATTTCCATTTGGACTTTATCAGGGACTGCATGTGTTGGTGAGACTGCTCTAAGATTAGGCTTATCTGCATCAAACACTCCCATGGGGTTTTCCCTTGCAAGAAAGGGTGAATATAAGGCAGAGTAGCACATGCCCGCTGTTAATCACAGTGGAGGACATGCCAGTCATTGTATTTTACTAATTAAAAATCTCCTCTAAATATTTGCTTGGCGTGGACTGCAGTGCAAACCTCATTCAGAATGGGGCCTTTGAAAGGAGCCCTAGACGAATAAACTTGTTCTGTCCTGACATCCAATGACCCAGAAATTTCAAATGGCATAATATTATCAAATGCTCACTGTTTATTCTGGGACATAATGCAATTACTATTTGATACCCTGTGCAATAACCTGTTTCTCTATATTTGACACCCAGTGCAATAACTCCATATATATATATGAATCTATATAAATACCCATGGTCACACATGCAATAACCCTGTATAATGATCCTGCAATAAAAACATAAAAATAAAGAAAATAAAAAAGCTCTCATATGTGGATGCACTGCTCATATACACTGTGTATATATCCGATGCACCTTTTTCTTCCTTTGGCACATTTTTCTTCTCCTTTGACTATTTAGGTGTTGTAACAAGTACATTTCTCCACTGTGAGATCAATAAAAATCAATCAAAATTGTTATTTTAAATTGGTCCATTTTAGAGTCGGTTTTATTTGTTAATTGTACGTTTTGGTCCTCCATACATTCTGTGTTTCTCTCAACACCCTCAACCTGAGGGTGTGTGGTCAGCGAGGACCGAGGCTCTTGACGATTGTGCGAAAAAGAACAATAAAAGATCGTCTATCTGTGCAACATTTTCTAAAAAAAACTGCTGTCCTTGCTAAAGGAGGGCTGCAAGTAATATATGGCACCGGGGATTTCATAAAAACAAGTACTGCTAGCCTTAAACTAAGTATTTTTTCCCATGTGGATGTATTCACATTTAATATTGTGTTTAATTGTTTTCATGAACTTTGATTTACTCCATTGAGCCAATTAGGCTTCCATAAAAATAATGAATTTACCACTTTTTAAAAGGGTGCCAATGACTGTTGAAAGCATTTGATCATAAAGTTTTCTTTTTAGCATGCAAACACAAAGGAGATCATCTGTTGCTGTTTTGGCGAACAAGCGAATTTCAATAAAATTGAAAACAATTGGCTGCTCAACAGTTGATCCCTGTTGCTAGATTAGATGCAGAATCCTGCGTGATGGGTTTATGCTGCACGATGGTGAAATAAGCACATAAAAATTATGAAAACTCATGCTATTGTAATGTGCAGAAAGTGCTTTCAGGTTGGTACTATTTTTTAACATTAAAAGAAAAAAAAAAGACCTTCCCAGAACGGCAGAACATCTTGACAGGCCATGAAAATCTGTTAGCATTAGAGCCACTTAAGTATCTCTGTCAGATGCACTAATGCATGCTTTCATCAGATTTCTTTTTCCAAGGAAACCGTCACAATTAGTTTTATTTTTCTTAACTTCACGCCATGAATGCAACCGACACACACTGTGCATTACAGTAACAGAAGTTCAGCTGTTTTTTCTGTCCTCTTTCCTGGATGTTTTCAACCGTAGATACACTTTATGTTGACATAGACTGGCTTTTTCCCTACCCCTTCTAGAAAAAAGGCCCGTTATGTAGACAACATTTTCACTCTTCGTTATATCTGTCACCACATATATAGTTGAAACCACCCCATCAAGGTGTGGTTTCGAGTGGTTTTCCTAGTTTTTTCCTCTGAAGGAACCTCAGAGATTGCTGTTACAATTTTCTTGTCAATCTTCTACTTTTATGTTCTCCAGGTTGAAGAATTTTCCAGTGTCTGGATCGCCTCTGTCACTTAAAGCCGAATAGTTTGCCTCTGGAAACTTGTCTATATTCTCCACTGTGGCTCCTTAAGTCAACGTCTGCCTTCCTGCGCTCCAGCCTGGCCTCCCTGCGCTCCAGCCTGGCCTCCCCTCTGCCATATAGCCAGAGACTCGCTACCAGGATTTCCTCTCCTCCTCAAGGCACTTGTTTTGCCCTGGAGCAGTAAGCCACAAACTGAGCCTTCTCAATACAAATCCTACCTCACCAAGACCTGTGATAACAGCCCCCTACATTTCAGAAACAGCTGTACCCCTAAAGCTCTGTTTCTGGTTTCAAACAAGTCTGTCCCCTTTGTCTACCACCCACTTGTCTGTATCGCATGTAGATCAGGAAGTTACCTCAGAATATGACAATGGCACAGAAGTTAGTTACCCTTTCAAATCTTTCATATATATCCATTCAATCAGTGGTACTCTTGCTAGAGTTGTTTCTTTTAGTCCTTCTGTGCAACGTTCTCCTGCTGCATGCACTGGTACTCAGCCACTCAGGCTGTCCCTTCCTCCTAGCCCAAAAATATACATGTTAGGTTAAGTGGCTTCTCTAAATGGTCTTAATAACTCTGTATGCATCCGCATATTCATTTCACGTTTGGTCTGGAAAGCATCTGGCCTCATAATGTTTAGATAAGCCCTCAGCATGCAGTGTAAAAAATGTGATGCTGTGCAGGGTTAAAAACAGTCACTATAAAAAAACATTTATTCATAAGGGGGATCCAGAGGTTCTGAGTTCAATCCCCACTCCCACTGACTGACACTCTGGGTCCCTGAGCAAGAACCTTAACCCCACACAGCTCCCCGGGTGCTGCACAATAGCAGGGGATGGGTTAAATGAAGAGGTCATTTTCTCCAATGTAGGATCAATAAAGTTCAATTATTATTATTATTATTCTGAATGACTAGTTTCTCTCATCAGGTTAGGATTAATCTTCTAAGTTATCTGCCAATTTCTCTGGGGTCAGGTGTTATTTATCTTGTTTACACAAACAAAGCTTTTTAATGTTAGAGGTATTTTACAAACAACTTTCCCCAAGATGAGCCGGAAAGGACAGTTAAACTCCAGATATAGTTTACAGCATGTCCAAACAACAGCTGCTTCACAGACTCTTTATCATGAAAGAGGTAAAATTCACAGTGCCTTGCTTAAGTATTCAGAACCCTTGAACTTCATGTAGTTGAAGTATTTTTGTTGGAATTCCTTTAGGCAGAGAAACAACATGTGTTAAGGTGGAAGAAAAAAAAAAATTCTGATTATATGTATACATAATCACATTAACATTGTGAAAGTTCAGTGGGTTTTTTTCCCCCATACATCGTCTTACAAATCCCCAGAATGTAAAATGAGTTTTCCCGTTTACCACAGTTTCCTCTGCATGCTCTATTATTCAGTTTTAATAAGATTGATACAAACCAAAATCTCAGTGCATTCACATGGGTGTGATATGCTACTGGCTCTAGTTCAACTGGCTATTTTGATGAGTCTTTGTCACAGGGAAAATAGGAGCAACCGTGTAAGTAGATCAGCGGTCAGCAACCTTTATAATACTAAGGGCTACTTCATGGGTACTGAGTCATGGGATGGGCTACAAATACTGACCCATGAACTGGAATAGTCAGCATTATGGATTAAAAACATATTTCTGTTGTTTCTTTTCATTTATAATGTGCTTTCAGATATTGTATTTTTGAAATCCCTATAAATTCTTAAATGTTCTAAATTATTGATATGATGAAATGCTCTATAAATGATTAAAAAAAATAAGAGCAGCAGCATAAAATAAAATCTCAAACTACGTTCACTAGTGAGTTGTCTTGTTTTTTAGAAGATGCTGAGGGCATTCCATGTGGTCCTTGATGGCCCCTTGGTGCCAACAGGCATCATGTGCACCTCAGCTCCCATTACAGACTCTACACAAGAGTATGAAATAAAACGTTTGTCTAATGAAACAAAAAGGAGTCTGATCTGCAACGGCATGAGATGAGAGTAAATATTGAAGCAGCATTCAACATGGAGGGAGATCAGATCTGCCCAAAAAATTGTTCTATTTTTGTTTAAAAAGTAAGATGTTCCATTCAGAATAACTTCAATTTATAAACCTATCTGACCCAAAATGACGTTCAAATCGGTTTGCAGCCTTTGCAGCCTTTTGAATGTTGTCTTTAAAGTCCTGTATTGTGTTCATCACGTTGTCAATTAATGACAGAGATGTCTGTTGGATATGAAGTCAGGATTCTACACTTGAAGAGTACAGCTATTAGCCTGAAGATGCTTTGCTAGCATTACTAGCCACAAATAGGAAGACAATTTTTAAGGCAGGTTGTTTCCTTCCTTAAAGTCCTAAAAGTCTGCATGAGAGCATGGGAAGAGGTCCACAAACAAATAAGTAAGAATCTACAGGTGCATAAAAAAACAAGCTCCAAGTGCAGAGAAGGAGCGTAGACTCATAGCTGTGACATATTTGGAGGAAAGCCTTAGAAAACTCGTAGTTTAATTGGAACACATCCTCAAATCCAACTTCTAATGGAGCGGAACCACTACACCAGTCGGCAAATCGAGAGGCACCTTGCCCTGAACTTCACCCGATGTTGAGGAGGCCTGTCATTTCAAAAATGTAAACATTTGGCCTCTGTTCCAAAAGCCAAATTTTCCCGGACTCATTTCTTGAACGCATCTCAAACATTTTCTGTTTCTTTCCATTAAAAAAACATACGGACAAAATAATAACTGCAAATCTCTTAACACTTAGATTAAAACTAAATTTAACTTAATCTTACGTTTAAGTTTAAGGTGTTGTCAAAAAGTGACCACAAAGTAGTCAAAAAAATCATTTTACAAAACCTCCCATCATTAAAGAGGACACTTGACAAACAAAACCATCTCCACCATACCCACCTGAGTGTTATTAATCTCATGCTAAATGCTAAATATAAAATTGACAGATTTTGTTTCAAATTAGTGAAAGTATATTTTAACTTGTCTGGAAAATAAATCGATGAAACTTACTGTTTACAAATTATTCGACAAAAAATGGCCCAAATAAGTAACATCACTCCAAAAAAAACATTTTGAATGCAGGTAATGAACATGATGCACTTTGATGCCAGACAGTGACCTCACACAAACACCCACAATTTTAATGACAAAGCATGTGCATGTGTTAATGTCACCAGATCTAAATCTGACTGAGTTGGAATGCTTTAAAACAGATGTTCACAGATGTTCTTCTTCCAATCGGAGAGAACTTGTGCTTATTTGTAAAGAATTTAAGTGTTAGACCTGTAAAGCTGGTAGACATAACTAATGATACATAGCTTTCTCTTAACCATGAGTCATTTTAATTCCCATCAAATCGCTTCAACCACACAGTGATGTTTGTGGTTGTAACATTACAAAACAGGACATTTTGCACAGAACTGTAATTCTAGATAATAAAGAACAGATGTTATGCCTTCCTATAAATTCTGCATCCACAGACGTTTACTCACTAATTCATCATGGTACCTGACAGTACCATTGAGCCCTATGTGGCAGTTTTAACTTAAAAGTGATGTATATCCATTTGCATGTGACAAATAGAGAAAGGGGTGTGAAGACATTTGTTGAGCTGCTTACATGGAAGTCAGACCATGGAACTCACCCAGACTCCTCCTTCCAGCTGTCTTTATCTTTACATTGTTGGGACATGTTCAGAACTTTCTCCAGTTCCTGAAACACACCCAAAGCAACAATGAGTAGGAATCAGCAGAGAAAAAATAAAAAGTCTGCACTGCAAAGAATGAAATATAAATAAGTCAATGTTTTATATTTAAATTAAGAAAAATACAACTCCATAAACCCTATTGTAAGAGCAAATTACTCATTGCATTGGCAGACCATCTGATTTAAGGAAAATACACTTACTGTAAGAAATATTGACTTATTTATAGATCTGTTTTGCAGTGTTGGGTCTTTAGACAATATAACATGCTTTTTATCATCTCACAGAAAACACAGACAGACAAAGGTACCTTAATACAAGACACATGGCTGTTTTGCTGCCCATCGCTCTCTGACAGAGCAGGATCCTCGTCGGGGTTGGGTTCTATAAAGTCATACAGATCCTGTTCTGATAGAGGGAGGAAGCATCCGCGTTCGTCACACAACGGTCACATTTTTTAGGCACTTCATTCTACAATCCCCATGTGTCTCTGTTACTGCTTTCAAAGGGAATGTTTGATACTTATTTTGGGTAACCTTTGCAGGAGTCCATTTTGGAGAGTAGGGACAGGGCGTCGGCGCGGGCGGTCTCTGAGACCTGTGAATGGAGGCTGACGGTGTCGTCATCTGAAGGCTGCAGGACAACATTGAAAAACAACGTCACAAGAAGCCACAATTTTTTTTGTGGGGGGGTTTCTGCATAAGAGCCTCAAGTGCTTTGACGTGGACTTATAAAGACCTTATAAAGTTCTCAATTGGGCTTTTGTGCTAAATGTTACCACTAGGCAGTGGAGGATCTAGGGGGCGGCTACTTGGGCTACAGCCACGGATGTTTCCCCAAGAGCCCCGGATCTCCCTTCTGAGCAGCTCTGAGTAAAATGTGACCTGTCCAAGGTGTCCAATACTGGTGATTTTCAGTACTGCACATTGGACACGTCTCCAGTCCATCACAGGGCAACACAGAGACAAACAACAATTCACACATATACCTAAGTAGAATCTAGAGAACCCAATTAACCTAACACTCATGTTTTTGGACTGTGGGAGGAAGCTGGAGGGAACCCACGCATGCTCAGGGAGAACAAGCAAACTCCATGCAGAAAGACCACAGACCGGGAAACAAACCCGGCAAGGCAGCAGTGTTACCCACTGCGTCGCTAAGCACCCCCATTCCACCTCTGATGATCTTTATGAAATGTATTTTCTGTTTAAATGTTTATCTAACAATTTACAAACATTCCAAAAAAAGTTCAAACCAAAACCACTGGACTTTGTTTTCCAAGTTTGAAGATGTTTCTCTTTCCATCCAGAAAGCTTTCTCAATTCAAAATGTCTGGAGCTTTTTCAAAGATGTATGAAAAATATATTTTTTGTTTTGTTTTTATATTGTGTGCAGGAGGTCAAAGAGAAATTCATTATTTTTTCCAATGCTTTAAACATTTGAATAATTAATAAATTTAAACAATAACTTGAAACCAGGGGAACAAAGCGGCAGGTGTGTCTCAGACGATAGATTCCAAAGGGAAAAAAGGAAGATAGCTGATGAGAAAGAGGATTCAAAGAATGCAGCGAATCATTCGCTTTGATTATCAATGCGGAAGGATTGCCTGCATTTTTTGCTTTTTAATGAGAGGTTGTCAAAAAAAGAGAAAAAGTTGGAAAGGCATTTCCAGGGAAGGCTAAATATGCAGCCGACCACCAAGTTGGGAGTGAGAGAAAAAGTGCGATTGCAGAATTTCTGGATAAATTAGAGGTTCGCCAAGATAGATTTAAGAAGTGGATTGCATCTCCAAACTCCACTACTGCTGCTAGTGTGGTTGCAAGGATGGAAACCAGTTCACAGATCAAACAGGTAGTGCTCTGATGCAGGTGTGTGAACTTTCTTCTTCAAATCCTAAAAATATAAATAACACCAAGGAAAGCTGGTGACGGAGGATGTGGGTTTTAGGGTTAGAGAGCTCTGCTCTGATGGATGTCAGTTCCTGCTTGGTTCCTCATGACTCAATCATTTCCTCCTAACAGAAACAGGTCCACCATAGAAAGATTCCTTAAAGCTACAGTGTGTAATAATTACAGGGATATACAGTCAGAAATGTAATATATTATACATAACTATGTTATTTATCATCATCTACGAGCTCAGCCTCTTAACCTTAATATTTGCGTTGCCTTAGAATTCGTTATTTATAATTACATAGGAGCAGGTCTTGCAGCCATGGAGGCAGACATCTTTGCACTACGGCAGCGCAGAGCCAACAAACTAGCGATTGCGAGATCGCCCATTACGCTCGAAAGTAACTACGGCAAGTTGAGAGAGATGAACTGAGACGGTACTGAACACACAGACTAATGAAATACTATCTGTAAAATTATCTATGTAAACAAACCTCATCACTTGAGAAGGTAGGTGATGCGGACGTTGTGGAAGACATTTTGTCCCGTAACGCTCGCCGTACTGTTGGGGGGGAGAAGCGGTGGGGGGGAGATGTTCATGTTGCTGCGGTCTGCAGTCTGGACGTTAGATGTCGCTGAAAATTACACACTGTAGCTTTAATTGTGTTTCTATAATTTCATCAATTTAACAAAAACCTAAACCGTGCGGTGAAGGGTGGTGGAGCAGCATGTGGTGAGGGCGTTCACTGCTCTTCCCTCACCTCATGCTGCTATGTGACATTTGCTCCAGGATAAACATTTAATCATAAATGATAATTATATATTTAAGCCCACATAGTCATTTCCTATAGTGGGATATTACAATAGGAGCCCGTGTTGCAAAACAAGGCACATATAAGACTTTTACCTGTTTGGGGCTCTAGACAGATTTATTTTTTGTTTTTTTTGGTCCAATATGGCTCTTTGAGCAGTTTGGGTTGAAGAATTGAAAGTACATTTCATAAAGATCATTAAACCAACAGTCATATTTATATTAACTATTTTGGATTTCAAAATATAAAATAATAAATGTTTTTAAAACATAATATATAAAAATTAAGATAGTTTCAAAATTTGTAGGATTTGTTTATTTTTTTCACCATGTTGTGGAGGGCGTGGATTATATCAGATGGCTAAAATATACGATTCCACCCTCATAACTTTGACAAATAATGATTAAATGTCACCATATCCACAAAGTTTGTTGTTGATGAAGAGAGGAATAAACACAGTTAAAGACTTGCAGGTAAATTTCTTCCATGTTATGGAACGGGAATTGTTATGTGTGATAGCATTTAGTATACTAGAAATTTATTTAATCCAGTAATCTGTCATATTTTACATTAGAATGGGATTTACCAGAAAGTCTACTCTCTCATATTCACCCTAAGGGCTAAGCCCCTAAACCCCTAGATCCTCCCCTGCCACTAGGTCTCAAAAAAGCTCTTGTTATCATGCTTCCAACTCATTAAAGAATACAGCCCAACAAGAGTAAAACAAAACCAGAACATGAATTACTACGGAAAAGATGCAACGAGCATGATGTGGAGGAAAAATCCCAATATTCGTTTTATTCTCTGCTGGAAAAGAATAATTAATCTTCATATAAATCATTATAAAACATCTTATCTTGCCTTGTATGACTCATGACACTCTGCAGTTCCTTGGCTTGGGGGCGCAGCCATGAACATCACCAACAGGTGGGATGAGATTTAAATGTGGTTTGGCTCCCACCACAGTGTTTGCCGTCAGCTTTGATTGATCACTTTTAACAGATATTCTTTTCCCAGCCCACAGACCCGACTTTGCTCCACACCGCAAACTTGTTAAATTCATGCTGCTTGATGTAAAGCCTTTATTCTTCTTTTTCATATCTGCCCTTCCTTTTTTGCTTGAATATTTCTGAAGCTATTTTTTGTTGTTTGTTTTTATTTTTTGCAGAGCCTGATGACAGCTTAATGACTCCTTTGTTTTTATTTGGAGTACTTCCTGAGGAGTGTTACTTCCGCTGTCTAATGGCCTAAAAAAACACTAACCACAAAAGAAAAAACAAACAAAATGAGACCACATTTTTTAAATCATGAGTAAAACATTTCAGTCCTACACATGTAGCTGCACCTGTGGGCCTTTTGCCTTTTTTACTGCTGCAAACCTTTTTCTATTACTGCATGGCTAAGTGCCTTTTGGACCCATGTTTTGATTTCACACAGTTTGAATGATAGAAAACAACATTTTCTCAAAGTGGCATTAGATTATTAGGAGGTAGTCTCTATAGAAATGTTGCTCTACGTTTCAGATCCCGTTTCTCTGCAAGAGGCAGTTTCGGCGTCTGGCATTTGATATTTTTCCCACAATAAATGCATACATAATCAAGTACAGGTACTGGTCAGGAAAAAGCTGCTAAAGCAGCTGAAGATCAAAAGAAAAATCATGAAAGTAGTAGTAGTAGATGGAAAGCCTGTTAATGAGCCTGAAAAAGAACAGATGAAGGCCCCTTGGAATGAATAGTTTGACTCCTATCAGACAAAAGATAAACAAAGAAATGTTTAAGAAAATATTTTATCACACAGAAATTCAACTTTTTGTGTAGACATGCTGGATCTTGAGTTTGGGTCCATTCGGGGAGTGTTGGCCTTGTGGTTTAAGCAGTGCGCTTGTGTTCTGAGAAAGTTGCAAGTACCCGGTTTGATCCCTACAGCCTCCACTCTGGGTTCCTGAGCAAAACCCTTAACCCCACGCTGCTCTGCGGGTGCTGCACATCGGCAGCCCACTGCACCCCAAGGGGATGGGACAAATGCAGAGAGTTAATTTCCCCATTGTAGGACAATAAAGGGATTTTTATTACATTTGAATTGGGCAAATTCATATTCCAAAGTAGAGATTTGTCGACAATCTCCATGATTAGTGCTGTCCGAATAGGGCGGCAATACGGAAGCAGTATGCTTCCTTTCTTAGCTCATGTAGCATTGGGAGCTCTCAATATTCCTATCCACCACAAAGGACCAATACGGTTGCCTACAATCCTTTGTGTGCGGAACAGCTCTGCACACAGTGCCAGCTGCATTTACTGTATGTAACGTGTTTTGTGTAGTTCTGGGTTTCTGACTACTGCTCGACATGCATGTCTGTGTTGAAATGAAGGATGAAGGCCGTCTGAGTTCAGCGCAGCAGTGCGAACTTCCTTTCCTACCTATGAAAGAATTTTACTGTTGAACCCATGAAAGATGAAGGAATTTGGAATCAGTCTCTGAAAGTGTTTTTCAGCCAACGAAGTGTTCTCCACATAGTGTGATTTTGGTCCTCCTCCCGTATTCATGTCATTAATGGAAGGATGCCACATTAGCTCACCTTGCTATCACCACTCCTGTCTCTATTCCAACAATCAGTCACTCGTCTGCAGACAGCCGCTAAGTGTTGCTACCTGTTGTTGTTTCCCATCATTGATAAACAAAACACTGCTAACTGTTAAAGCTGCTAGCGCTAACACCAAGGCTGTGCCCACAGGCACCAAGGGGCCCTCAACACACCATGGGGGCCCCCCAGCGTCTTCTGAAAACTGCACAACTCACCATTGGACTAAGTTTGAAATTTCATTTTATTCTGTTGCTCTTTTTTAATTATTCATAGAGCATTAAAGGATTTATAGAGATTTCAAACCAGCAATATCTCAAAGAAAATGAAAAACTAAAATAAACATTAAACGTATGTTTGTTATGCATGCAGGTGGACGCTGACTCGTCCAGTTCAAAGGTCGGTATTGGTTGCCCTTCCTATAACCATGAAGTAAAACCTCAGCCTTAAACAGGTTGGTGATCCCTGAGCTACATCCACGTGAAAGCACAAGCACACAAGTCAAATTCTTGTGCATATCCTCGCAAGGCAAAGAAATGGATGTGAAAAGGGATCAGAATGAGCTCTATTTTAATTTTTTTTCTCTCTCCTATATATGATTTCAGAAGGATTGTATAAAATAAAATACCAGGTTATGCCTACTGTAAAACTGCAGCTCTACAGTACATCTGTTTGCCTCTTATACTAAGAATGCTCTAATACAATATTGATATTGGGAAAAAAAGTTTAAAAAATTCCACAAAAATCAAGATTTTAATATATTAGTCTGTATCCAAAATCTCTGCTGATAGAAACACATTTCGCTTCTATTTATATTTTATCTAACCTGTTGGTTAACGATACATGGGTCAATTCCTGTTGTTCTTCACTATTTATTTATCTCTATTTGACTTTAATGACTTGATCAAGCATTTTCTAACATCTCATAAGACAAAACTAGTAATAAAAGCAGGTATGATTTGTACCCAATATCGTATCAGGTCAATATCTGCATCTGCTGATAGTCAAAGCTGCAGCATGGGCGTCATATCAGAAATGTAAAAGTTGTATAGGGACATCTCTATATTACATCATGATCATTAGCCAGCAATGTGCTTGAACTCTGACCTCTGTTGTAGACAGCCTCTTGTCACCATTGTCACTACCAATTCCAGAGTCCGGTCCATGATTCTTACTGGGATAGAAATCTTCCATGCTTGAAATGTACAAACAAGCAGAAGATGTTACGACGAATAAACTCAAATCATTAATGTTGAATTCATGACCTTCAGATGATGTAACACACCTATCGGTGAGGGGCTGTGGAAGACAACGCTTGCTGAGGGTCGGGAGGTCCAGGGTGTCTGGTTTCTTGTCCATTCTACAAGCCTGGATGTTCAAGTACTTGAATATATGAACTTTGCCCTTCAGGCAAATCTGAAATGCAGAAACAAACAACATTTGTTTTTAAAACCCAACTCTTTGTCAGCCTTGTGATGCTGTAATAGCTGTAGCAAAAACAATAACGTCCTCTTATCCACCAGATGGTGCCCTTGTATCAAGTTTATTTAATTATTGCTTCATATTTACAGGTTTATTTTTTACATTCCTATATGTATTTATTAGAGATATCTGCAAAAAAAAAAAAAAAAAACGCAGTAAATGACTTTTTGGTGAACGTAGACACCTGTGCCGGAGGGGACTGCATAGGATTGTTGTCCAGGATGATGTACTCCAGTTGCCTGAGTTTCCTGAAAGCTGGAGGAATCTCTGTGATCTTATTGCAGGAGAAGTCGAGACGGATGAGAGGAAGATCTGCCAGCTCTGAAAGGAGAGATGGGAGTATTGCTTCACAAATTATACCATGACAAAGACAGGAGGATGATAGCTGATAGAAATATAATGACTGACGCACTAAACACTTTGCTATTTAGATCACTTTCTCAGTAATTTTATAAATCATAGAGATGCACCTGCAAAAGAATTATAGTCATACACTGGAAAAAAATCGATATCTAGATAAGTAATTTTTTCTTAAAAAGGGTGCATTTTTTCTTGGATTAAGGAGGTAAAAGAGACACTTTGCCAATGGAAAAGGACAATTTACACTTAAAATAAGAAAACACAATTGCATTGTCTTATGTCAAGTGCATATTACCTAATTATCTTATTTTAAGAGTTAAAATACTAATTCCATTGGCAAACTTTCTCATTTACTTACTCAAATTAAGGGTAAATACACATACAATACAATTTAAGACATTTTCTACTTACAGTATTTCTAGATCATTTTTCCTGTGTATCCATTTGAGCCTTTACAGTAAAGCCTGGAGTTGTTGATTTAATTAACGATTATGTGTACTGTGTAGCACTTTGTACTCTGTAGGAAAACGGAGGTGGGATCAGCCTCATAACTTAAAGATAAAAAAAAATTGTTGTTTTTTTTTAGCTCTGGCCTTTGTCTTCAGTGCTTATACCACATGCTTACCTCACATAAGTGCGTTTTTGTAAGAATAACACAAGCATTGTCATGGTCTGCTATGATAGCTGGCCTAAATTACTCATGCCTTCCACCTGCTTTACGCTTTCCAGCTCCTGATCATCACTCATCTCATCCACCTGCCAGTTTTTCTTATATTGGGCTCAGTTCCAGCTATCATGGCCAGATCACTGTTTTGCTTTCTGCTTGCTCGTTGTTTGATATTTATTTTCTGTTAGTCTGTCTGTTGGGTTTTTTTCAGTTTTGTTCCAAGGTTCATGTCCTGGATCCTGGCGGCCAGTGGAAAGAGGATTTTGTGTCTGTCTCGTCTCCTGGCCGTTCACTGTTCCTCCCCTGCGGAATCCTCAGGGTTTTGGCTTGAAATGGAGGGAGGATCAGTTTTTATCCCCGTAAGCCTGGCTTCTAGGAGGAGACCAGTTTAAAGTTTCCGGCATCAAGTTCTGGTTCCACGTCCCGTCTCTGCTACCCTCTACCACTGAGCCTGCCCTTCTGTACCTGATCCAGTCTGCTCCTGTGCTTGTCCGCCTGGTGATCTGGCCATGATAGCTGGAACTGAGCACAATATAAGAGAAACTGGCAGGTGGATGAGATGATTGATAATTAGGAGCTGGAAAGAGTTTAGCAGGTGAAAGGCATGAGTGATTAAGGCCAGCTATCGCAGCAGATATGCATCATATAGGATACCTAAAGAGCTTTAAAATACATCACAACTGAATTAGGGGTTCATAAGGATAAATGCAACAGACTGGAGACCTCCGAAAAATACAGAAAATCTTTACATATAGACTGAATTTGAGCAAAATGATTGAACTATGATTAATCAATGAATAGCGCCCAATGAATTCAATGATTATGCAATGAATAGAATAATCATATTTTAACTCCCAAATGGAACCACAGCCATCTTTAGCTGTAGAATATAGTCAACCTTTTAGTATTTGGATCAACCTGAATCCTCGGCCCTAATAGAAAAATAAATACAAGAATTAATTCACTTTGATGCTTAATTTTATGTTAAAGAAGTCCTACTATAGAAACTCCCTGAGATTTAAAGGTTAGAATAAAGAATGCAAGACTTTTTAAGATCTTTCAGAAATCTCTGCTAAGCTGACTGATTATCTGTCCCTGTTAACACGTGTGAAGAGTTAACAGAACAAAGCTATCTGTGTGTTGATGTTGATATGAAGGGATTCTGGATCTAAAGGTATTTCAACATTAAAATAACTTTTTTATTAGAAATAGTTTTTAGTAAAAGTGTGAGGGGGATTTCTTTTTCTTTTAAAGGTGGGATTCAGGTTTAAAAGCTGTTAGATCTAGAAATGTCAATAGCAGTTTTTATAGCTCCCTTTCCTCAGTAATACCAATCACTTTCTGACAGCTCCTCATAACTGAAACAGTGTATAAAAATAGTAAAAACAACAAGCTGGATTCCAACAAAACCTCATCGCTGTCAGCTGGTTGATTTACCACACAACCGATTAGATTATTATTCATCTGGAAAATTTAAAACTATTTCAACCTGTTCTGTTCTGCCTCTTGACAAATTACTGACTTATGTCCCACAAATGAAACTTTAACTCATTTTGAAACAATAAATCAAATTGAGAAAGCAAAATAATAAATAATAGCAATAGAAGGAACACATGAATGACACCAAACATAAAAACAGATGGCTCCAGCCAAGTTTCTTTTGGCTTGCAGAGGTGGGCAACCTTTGCCAAGATCCACAATGCGTCTATTGAAGATGCAGAGTTAAAGGGAAACTAAAAGGATGGTGAAGCACTGACTGACCCTCGGGCAGCATCTGGAGACAGTTCTTCCTGATGTTGAGCTCTCGTAAGGCGTGAAGCCTCCCCACTTGAGCTGGCAGGACCTGGATCTCATTGCAGCTCACATCCTGTGAGTGGAGGAGAAGTGTGGGAAAGCATGTCAACACGCATCACACACACAAAAGAAAGTGTATAAAATCAAGAAAAACAACAACTAAATCCAAGGGAAAAGCTAGTCAAACCAAATAAAGTTATGTCATTATGCAACAAGATAATCTTGCTTGAACAGAGTTCTTGATGTAAGATTTAAATCTAGAAATAAGCTTGTTGTTTACTTAAAATTGGACATAATGTCTTAAAACAAGATAAATCATCTAACATTTCTAAATACACGCTGCAAAAAATTTGAAAGCTCTTTAAGTTTTTAAGAATTGCTGTTTATTTTTGTCCTGAAATAAGCAGGAAAGTGAGACACTAAAACAATTTACATTCAAAAATAAGAAATAAGAAAGTGCATAATATCTAATTATCTTATTTAAAGAGTAAAAATGCTAATTTCACTGGAAGATCATTTTATCTACCTGCTCAAATTAAGGCTAAATACACTTATTTTAAGACTTTTTAACAGCTTATTTAGATCGTTTTTGCAGTTTGTTTTCTTTTTTATCTTAAGAACTAAACGATTTGCTGAGCAGAGGCTCACATGCACCGACGCCTACGCTCTGCTCACCAGTTCCATCAGCTCTTTGGCCTTGCCGATCTCTTCGGGGATGGAAACCAGCTTGTTGTTGCTTACAAGCAGGACTTTGAGGGGGAGATTAAACAGGTATTTTGGCAGAACCGCCAGGAGATTTCGGCTGTAGAGGAAGATAAAACATTGACCTACATATCAAAACTGAGATACACACAGAGGTACTGGGAATCAAGTTGTAGTTAGAAGAAAAAGGAAGCGTGTCCTGTTTGTGTGAGCTTCTTTACGCACGAAAAGCAGAACAAGCACCACTAGGGAATCATGAAGCTGCAAATACATCCACTTTCTCTTTGACTGAATAAATTGATAGAAACTGATGAACACACCAAACTATTTTTTACCTGATGTCAAGATAAGTCAGCATCTGCAGATTGATAATGGCTTCAGGGATGGATTTGATGCAGTTGTGGTAAAGGTTCAGCGACTCGAGCGGGGCGAAGAGACACACCTCCGGGGGGATCTCTGTGAGATGATTCTTGGATAGATCTACAGAAACAGAAACAGCGTTTACTTCAAACATAGCATACCAGTAAAAGCCCATTTACTGTCCAGACAACATCCCCAGTGTTTGATTCAACCCAAGAGGCCAAAGGCCTGAAAGACGGATCAATACACCTCAGTGACAGAGCAGAGGCTAACATTTCTTCTCCATCAAACTGTGGTCTAAAATTACACAGGAGTCTGGAGCTCTGACCGTCTGAGTGCTGCTGCTGTAATATGTCGGTGGATCTATCACTGACCTGAGAGAGGCACTGTAATGGTTTAAATTTTCAAGAATGGCTGCAAAAAAAAACGTCACATCAAAACGCAGCTACTTGTACAGAAAGTGATTTGTTTGTTTAATGCATAATTTACCTAATAATGCATTAGTTTCTTTTATTTTTTTTAAATGTCATATGTTAACATCATGACAGCCATTTTACAGGTTCTGCATTAAGTGTTTGTCTTCGGCCTAAAACTCATTTATTTCACATTTTTACCTTTCTGCGTCCCGTTTGTCAGCTTATATAAAAAGTAATTGATTTCCAAAGATAATGAATGGGTTTATTACAGATTTAATAAAAACAATATAGAAAAGTGATCCAAACTAGGGCTGGGTATCTATTTAAATTCTAATGAATTTATATCTTCTCCGGTCCAAATTTAAATTGGATTAAAAATTTTGTTTTAGCAGTTACCTGAATTACATGACAGTATAGTTATACAACATACTGACACTAATATTATAACGTTCAACAGCAAATCAATACAGTAATAGTATCTAATTGCGGCTGTAAGGAAAGTGGAAATGTATCTTTAAAATCCATTTTTGGTTTTAATAACGATTTAGAAGTTAATATGTGAATCGATTCAAATTTATTTTATTTTTATTGAAAAGCCCTAATGCAAAGCTAAAAATGTTTACATTAAAAACTTAAATATTTTATAGCACAGGACCTTTCATATAATAAAAAAGACAACAACTAAAACAGGCACAACAATTATATGATAAAATTTAAATTCTAATTACTATACAATAGTGCATGTTAAAGGAAAATGCAATATCCTTCATAACAATGAAGAAAAAAAAGGCATGTTTGAATTATAATGTCTTCATGTGCTTTTTACATGCAGAGTACAGATTTTCTAGACACAGTAGAGGGTAGACACTGTCAGGTATACTTTGGTTTATGGACCTGGAGGTTCAAGTTGGACTATGTGTCATTTTTTTAGATCACAAACATTTACCATACAATAAGTTGTATTTGTGTTATTCTACTCTTTTAATGGTGCATTTGAATCTACCGTTTTCAGAATAGACTAATTAAATTAAAATATCTAAATGCCTCCAAGGTTTCACGGCTTGTCAACAGTTAATTAGTGGTAACTTCTGGGAAAGATTTCATCTTTATTGTTCTCTGTTTAGAGCACCTGAATCTAATACCACCACCATGCTTGACAATTGGTACTGTTTTTCCCAACTTGAAAACCTCCTGTTGCCTCCTTCAAACATCTTTTCCTTGTCATTGTGTCAAATAAGATCCGTTATTGCCTCGACCAAAACCTTTTCTGCATTAAGTGATTTGGCCGGCTCATGTAACAATTCATTCCCTTAAAAAAGTGACATTTCAGTTTAAAGGTTTCTACAATAGAACAGGAGATTTTTTTCTTGGCTGCATCTCCACCCCCTGAAAACTACCATTATTATCACACCAAAATCAGCTGTCATTATAGGGTTAAAGGCTTACAGGCTTTACCTGTAAACAGGACATGCCAAGGCCTGCAGCCCATGTGACTTTGACCAACAGGTCCATCTCCACTGCCTTTTAACCTCTCAAAACCCACCGGGTCGCCTGTGACATGTTTTAAAGCGTTTAAAAATAGACATCAGACATCATTGGAAAGCTTAGATTCTCTAAAATTCAACCACCTAGTTCATTTTATGGACATAGCGAGCACCAAAGCACAATTATAGCAGCATTTCGAACTAAAGCATGACAAAGCAGCCACAACAAGCAAGCACGACTTTATTACTGCTGTTGAAAAGACTTATTATTTTCGAGAATAAAAAAAGCTAATTTGATTCATGCTTGAACTGATGCAGCCTGGGTGCTCACCCAATTTTCATGTATATATTCAGAAACTAGAAGGTGTTAGCTTTCAAATAACGTATTACACATTTAATTTGGGCTTACAGTTCCTATGTTATTTGCTTTTCCATTTGGGTATGCAAAATAGGCGAATTTCCCAGAAATGAGGTGGATATTAAGAGGTTAACCCGCCTCCAGCAATAGTGAAAACCCCAAAGCAAACATCAAGACACCGTTTGTTAATTATAGTAAAGCATTTAACTCAATCAACCCCAGAGGAATTATAAATAAACTAATAGAAACTTAAAATCTCCCTCTGTCTGTGGACGTTCTAACAGACCCCAGCACAACAGTATGGGTCCCTCCATATCCTCCACCATCGTTCTTCTTGCTGTTGTTCAACAGGGATGGGTTATGAGCCCACTGTTAAATGGGCTAAAATGAAGCTTCAGGGAATGCCCCAAATTCTACCATTTAAATGATTGTATCCATTAGGCAACAAGGTATGTCAGTAAAAAAAAAAAAAAAAACATAAGCTATTTACAGCAAGCTCTTCAATTTCTGTACAGAAAAATTCTTAAACATTCATCTGATCTGTTTGCCCGACCTGACTCCTGCATGTTCTCCGGGGCTGCAGCATCTGGGACACTCTGGGCGGCGCCCGCCGCATCTTGTCAGCTCGGACTGGGAAAGATTTTCGCACTTTACACAAACTTTACACATTGTGGATTAACCGATCTATCTTCAAGTATCACACGACAACCATCACTAAGACTTCTATAATGCGGTTTTACTGGCTTTAGTTACTAACACGGACGCAACAGTGACTGCAACAATGCACGTAAGACGGGAAACATTAGCCTTTAGATGCAAAGCCCTATCATGTACCGCAACATATTCTTGCAAAATATTTGAACATAAATTCACCAAATATAAGAAGAACAAAGAAAGCATTTTAGTTTCATTATAATTTAGTTTGTTGCAATGATTTTACAGTTTGAAAAAATTGAAAATTACACCATATGCTAACCGTCACAAGGATGTGCATGACAAGGAAGGCCTATATACACTGCATGCATCATTTAGGTCGTTAACCAGTGTTGGGCACGTTACTTTGAAAAAGTAATTAGTTATAGTTACTAGTTACTTCTCCCAAAACGTAACCGAGTTACTGAATTACTCCACAGTAAAAGTAACTATTGCCTTAATTTTGCGTTTCTCGTCCCCGTAACCCTCACCACCCAGCCCCCACCTTCTCGCCGTGTGTTTCAAAAGCCAGCTGAATAGAGAGGACGACATAGAGAAGTACCTGCAGAGAGTTTTGCATTTATTGCAACTCAACGTAAATTACATCAGGGGGGAAAGCTATCTGATGGGCCTATAAACCCCGTCAGATAGCGTTCCCCCTGCTTAATATGGGGGGAACGGTATTTGATGTGGTGTAAATATCATCAGGCTCCATTACCTCTACTCATGGGTGTGGGCTAACATTTGATCCTTCACGCTCAGTTCCCCTGTGGCGCGAGCACAGGGCGGCTGTTTAGCGAGCATGCTCGTTCCCTGTCGCTTGCGCAGTGAATCGTGCCGCCTGCGATTGTGCAGAGATGCAGGGGAAACCGTATCTGATGGGGAAACGAAGCTCGACGTAACACCGGTATTTCCATGTGGAAAACACTGTTTTGCTGCTGGAGTCCTCCTCACTCTCCATCTCCCTGTGTGTGCTGTACGTTAACACCCGCCAGCGGAAACACCCACCTACCCAACTGACAGACGTAATCTCACTATGCTATACATCAGCCAATCTCATTTCAACGCCGTTACTCCCATCACTGCCGTTAACATTGTATTACTTCTTGAGATCCTTGAGTTATTAACTGTCACAGGTAGATGCCTCGGCCAAAGAGTAAGTGTTGGGGCGGTATGATTTAAAGAGGGCCGGCCCCCACATGCTGAAATTAGGCTCTACCACCTCCAACCAAATGGCTGGTGTCACAGATTACCAGTCCGAGCCTGTTGGCAGCCCACCGGCTGGCTCCTACCTCGTTTAATGCGCATGTACTGAACTTGTAAACCAGGTTAGTGACTTATGTTCATAATCTTCCTATGTCAGATTTACGTGGTCACTAACCTGTCTGTCAAAGCCAACCTATCTGTGAAAACACAAGCTCTGAAGACAGTGAAATTTGAAGTAGAGGCGTAGGATGAAGAGGTTTGTCCTGCAACTGAAGGGTCATAGGGTTAAATACCAGTCTAGTCATTGTGTCCATGGGCAAGGCACCTGACTGGCATTAGGGAAGTATTGATAGTGTTCAGAGGAGCTGATGATGCCTGTTTTTGGCAGCCTCCCCTCTGTCAGCGTGCCCAGGACAGCAGTGACTACAATGTGTAAAACAGCATGGGAATAATTACCACTGTTTTGCTGACCATATTGAGCTGTGTGGTATTAACCTTTGACATTAGAGTGTAAGATAAATTCAACACTAAGTGTTGAATTTAGGCCATTAAGAGTGTTGTTTCTTTCTCACAGTGTTAACTTTTTAACACTTTCAAAAGTGTCATCTCAAGTCTATCTAGTGTGGATCAATATATACACTCTAAAAGTGTTGTTTTTTACCCCCTAGGAGTTGAATTAATAGTTTCAAATGTTCAGTGAGATCTCATTAAATGTAACATGATAATTAGTTGAGTTCTCCGTAATTCTTTTAATTGTGGTCATATTGCAAATAGATTTAACTCTTCAGACTGACCTATTATAGAGTAAACCAAGTGTAATCAGCTGGTTAAGAGTTTGTTCATCTGCTTGAATGACTAACCTTTAGTCTGCTCTCTAACAAACATTCTAACTGATTTGTTTGAATTCTTTATGTCTAATGTTTTTACACATTTTATGGCACTCAGTCCATCCAATACTTTTTT